TTCTCTGATTTGTAAAAATAAACTTTCTGCTCTGAATGAGAATTTTGAGACAATCTACAGCCCATTCATCAGAGCCACTTAAAACCACACAGAACTTTCTGTGCTCTGATGCTTCTGGTGTGTGTCTGCATCTCTTTCAGTGAGAAAGAGTTCTTGCTGCCCACACAGAGTGTGGGTTTGCGTCAAGCATCAGCTTTTTGCTGGCCTTGGATTCCTCCCCACTCTGGGTGTGGGATTTGGGGCTCTTCAGGAGTGTCTCCCCTCTGCAATAGAGCTCAGTGTCAAAACCTGCATGAGGAGAGGGTCTGAATTCTCCTTTAATTCTTAAAATTGAAGACATCAGCTTCTCTATTTGGCTAAACCTCATTGAAGGGCAGTGGAAAACAGCTCCCCATGGGAGTAAAAACCATGGGTGGTTCAGAAACTGCTGATATTGATCACAAGCTCTGGATGTTTCTGGTGAATTGCTGTGTGGGGATGTGGCACTTGTCCTTCCATCGATGTAGATGTCACGTGCAGCTTCCTGCACTTGCTGCCTCGTTCCTCCTTGGGTGTATTTTATTTGCTGTTGGTGAAGTTTATTCATAGTCTCATTGTGCTCACTCAGAGCCTCAGGCCAGGTGCTCTTCTGGAGCAGGTGGGTTCTGCTTCCTGTGCCCTCCATGCAGGGCAGGTGCTGCAAACTCTGATTTCCCTTGGGCATAACCTTAGATTGGCATCTCTGCCCATCACCGTTTCAGAACCAGTCCTGGAAATGGCTTTGGAATGCCTGTGTGCCTGAACTAGTGTGGTTTTTTTGGAGTATGCTGGATGTCTGAGGAGTTTTGTGGCCATTAGTCATGCTGTAAAAGATATGGCAGCAAGATAACATTACTCAAATCATCCAGGGCACTTGATCCTGCGATGGAAGTTCCTGAAAGGTGTTGCTCCGGGTGTTAATCTGGCTCAGAGGAAGCTCTCTGGAAGAGCAGCAATCCTGCTCTTTGTTACTGTTCCCATTCTTGTGTTGAAGCTCAAGCCAAGTGTTTTTTGGGTTGATCCAACATACTGCTCAGCCACAAAGCACGAGGAAGGATGGGAAAGTCCCTTTTGGTGGCAGCCCAGGAGCAGTGAGAGTTTAGCATCCCCGGAAAGCCAGGGCCAGTCTTGGGAGTGTGGGGGAATCAAAGTCTTGAGTTTTTGGCTTTGATGTCTGCATTTGCTCTCATTCCAGCAGTGATGCTTTAATCTACAAAATGCTTTGCTAGGTTTTCGCTGTGCTCAGCTTGAATTTCTTCCAAGACATCACTCTGCTGAAATAGCAGAATTTGCCTGTGGATTCCGGTGCAGCAATCAGTCTGTGTTTATTGGGGTGATAAACTTCCTGTGAGAGTGAGGGTGGAGTGGGCCCTTTTCCATGTAGCTGAGCCAAATCACTCAGCAGCGAGACCAAAGCCGTTAAGCAAATTGAGATGATTTCTGCTTGCAGCAGTCTCTGCTGTAATAAACTGGTTTTCCTCCAAAGGAGAACCTGCACATACTATGCCTGTATTTTCTTCCCTTAGTGTATTGCTCTTGTTTGATACCATGGAGAAATTCCTAATTCTGATGTGATTTCATGCATTAATTGCATTAAACAGATCATGGTTTGTACTTCAAGTGTTGAACCTTTGAATCCTCAGTATGAGACTCTGCTCTGCTGGAGGCTTTTCATCCCTGAATTCAGAGCTGCTCACCTACAGCATGACACCACGGCTTTGTGTGACCTTTCCAGTCCTCTCCCACTGCGACTCCTTTCCATTAAAAACCTCAATTCCAACTGCCCAGGCAAAAAAAAAAGTCCTTTTTCCTCCATCAATCTCTTTAGTTGGCAACATCCTTCTTCAGTAATTACAGATCTGCTGGTGATATTTCTGGAGTTCCTGTGGTTCACTGTGACAATGGACTCGGCACCAGGACACAATGCTTTTCACTGAAACAGAGCCAAGCTACGTCATAAAATTATGCAGATGGGCTGTGACAACATCAAATTTTATGCAGATTTTCTTAGGCTGACCCTTTTTACTGTTCAGAATGGCTCTGGAGCTGCCTGTATCTCAAGTTTCATCCAGTTTTATCTGCCAACACACCCTTTAATGTGTACGTCAAGTTCATCTTTTGAGCTTCTCCTCTTCCCAAAAAGATGGTGAGTGTTGAGTTTGAGTGAGCTGAGGATGTGTTATGCCAAGTTCCTGCCAATTTATTTCCATAACTAGTGTGGAGCTGAGGATCCTTGGTGTGGACTGGGATCTCCATAGGGCTCCTCAGCCATGCTCCTTTGGATCCAGGACTCAGCAGTGCAGCCTGGCTCTGGAATTCAGAGAGATGTTACAGCAGCTTTGTCTGGCAAAGGCAAGAGGGAAGTCCTTGACTGCAGAGCTGGCAGTCAGAGAAAACCCTCAGGGAAAAATCGAACCCTAAAAATATGCCTGAAGCCAATGCTGTCTCCTGTATTCTGACATTTAGGATGGTTTTTTTATGTTCTTCACTAAGGCCTCACCTTGCCAGAGCTCCCACAGAAAGCAGAGCTTTCCAGAGGGTTTAAGAAAATGAGGGTACTCCAGGCTCTGGGCTGTAAGCTGAGTGGGTAAAGCTGAAGGAATTGGGACCTCAGAGAGCACTAAGTAGTGTTGCTTCCTTCCCTACATGAAATCTCCATCTTTTGGGTCTTGCTGTAATCTGTCTTCCTGGGTCTTATGCCCAGTAGGAAATTATTTTTAATTGCAATGTTCGCCCCTTACCAAGTGAGGCTGTAAATTAAATGTTCTCATCTTCCCCTGATCTGCAAACAGGATCCTTCACCTTTTTTAAGAGCCTTTCTGCAGTTTTATTCTCCTGCATACCTTAGTTAGCAGAGCCCTAACTCTAATTCCTTCCTCAGTTCCACTATTTGAGACTTGTAGAAATTGTGGTAGAGGTACCTGTTGTTTGTCTGTGTCTAGAATCTGTAATGGGCTCGGGTTTAAATTTTGCATAAAATATTCTGTTACTCTCTTCTTCTCTATTATTATTCTCTTATTCTCTAAAAAGTAGAGATGCTTATCTGGTGTTAGAAGTGACTTTGCAGGTAAGTCCTCATCAGACTTTACTGAAAACCCAGGGGCTCACTGTGAGTCACTTCAAGACCTGTTGCAATTATTCCAGCCCTCAGCACTAAGCTGATGACATTAAATTGCCATTTGTGTTGATTTGGGGATATTTGAAAGCATCTTTGACGTGCCTGGATCATATCCCATCATTGTTTGGCTTTCTGAATTGCTTCAGCATCAAACCATCCTGTGTTCCTAGAGGATTTAATGACTGTGACTGCTTCCTAAAGCATGGAGCTCTGTTAGGAGCAGCAGCCTCCCAAGCCCAGGTTGGGTCAGTGTTTTACAAAACACTGGTTAGGCAGGGAATTCCTGCAATACTCTGTAATATCCCATTCATGCATCCTGATGACAGATTCCCTGAGCATGTGAATTAATGAGATTAAAACCCTCCTCGGGTAATCTTTGTCAAACTGCATTCTGTCCTTTTGCAGCAGCACTTGGGAGCACAAGTCCTGGGATATTTACAGTTTGGTGATCTCAGTGCTGCATTTGTTATGTTGTTGGCAGGTTGCAGAGTTCTGAGTGCCATTGGGTGGATTAGCAGGGCTTCCCTAAATCTGGAGTAGGACATGCACTTGTTGTGTTGCTGACATTCTCTCCAGCCTGGAATGTTTCACTGCCTGAGCTCCTCACAGAGCCAGCACCAAACTGTTCACTTAATTAGTCAAGTATTTTGCTATATCTAACATTGATCACTTATGCAAATCCAGGCGTGTGCCTGCACTTGTTTAAAACATGCCATAAAATTAGTAATCACAGTGCTTTCAGGTCCTGTGCACTATAATTTGTGGATCTCTGTGGGGAAAAAAACATAGCAGTGCTCCCCGTGCTCAGCCTTTACACTGAATAGCAGGACGCCGTGTCTTTGGGCATTCGAGCAAATATTTTGTTTTGACACGAGACAAAGCCCTGTATTTCAAAAACAAAACCTTTCTGTTGTGTTTTGGAGCTGGTTTTGAGGTGTAGACTGGAAATCCATAGATATTTAAACATGTTACCCAGCTTGGTGCTGACGCTGGGACGCCGGGTGCTGGTGCAGGTGCTGATTAGCAAAATGAGCAGTTGGGCCTGTGCTAAATTCCTCCTCCATGGGCTGCTGTGGTTTCCTTTTTGACTCAAAGGTAATTCCAGGAGTGCTGTGCGGCTCTCTGAGTCTTCACTTTCCTTCTGATGCCTTTCAGAAAGCTGAGCCACCCAAAAATCCCCTGCCAGCTGAGGATCAACACTGCACTCCCACAGAGCAGTCTCTTGGGTGGGAAGATGGGCTCTGGCTCCTACCAGTTTGATGTTGATAGCTGTGTTGTGTGCACATATGCTGATGACCATGAGCACCTATTTTTGTGTGGTGATTGGTCAAAAATTTAAAACTTTTCCTTATTTTATAGGAAAATGTTTTTTTCCTTTTTACAGAGTGTAAACTTTGTAAAAGGTTGTGCTGAAAAACAAGGGCTGCTATTTTGGTGACAAAGCAGCCCTTTTTTGGCCATGCTTCATTTTCTCCAAGGACTGTCATCTTCCTAACTGCTCCAGCAAGTGCCAGCCCACATCTGGGGCTGTTCTCTGCCTGGTGTTTAGTGGAACACAGGGAACTCTGTGTCTTGTTCCCTAAATCCAAGCCTTTAATCTGCCAAAGCTGGATGCTTTCAGGTGGACTTGTTAATTGCTCTGAAATCCCATTTGTCTGTGCAAGGGTGTAGCTGAGCAGAGCCTGCACTGGTTTGGCCTTTGTTTCAGTCACAGTTTGTGCTGGGATTTATTTCCTTGCTGGGCAGCATCAGATGGAATATTCAAGAAGTGACAATAAAGCTGCCTAACAAAAGGTGTGCATGCAGGGGGAGGGAATTAACTTTGTCCCATTGACTGATCCCAGTTCTTTTCCTTTTCTTCCAGCTGAAGGGCTCCCCCAGGTGTATTACTTTGGACCCTGTGGAAAGTACAATGCCATGGTATTGGAGCTGCTTGGTCCCAGCTTGGAAGATCTGTTTGACCTCTGTGACAGGACCTTCACTCTGAAGACGGTGTTAATGATTGCCATTCAGCTGGTGAGTGATGGCAGGGCCCTGCCCTGGGGTGTCCTTGGCTGTCCTTCCACCCTGGGGTGGGCACAGTGCAAGGTTCAGGGCTGAGAGAATCTTCTTCCATCACAGAATCACTGGGTGGTTTGAGTTGGAAGGAACCTTCAAAGATCTAATCCCACCCTCCCTGCCAAGGGCAGAGACACCTTCCACTATCCCAGATTGCTCCAAGCCCCATCCAACCTGGCCTGGAACATTTCCAGGCATGGGGCAGCCACAGCTTCTCTGGGAACCCTGTGCCAGAGCCTCACCAGCCTCACATTCTCCCCAGTATCCCATCTAACCCTGTGTTCTGGCAGCAGGAAGCAATTTCCCCTTGTCCTTGTCACTCCAGTCCCTTGTCCAAGGCCCCTCTCCATCTTTCTTACAAAAGAAAACTTGTCAGGGGTGAGGAGGACTCCTGCCTGTGTAGGGAGGGTCAGATGATGCTTATGAGAAGCTGGCTCCCTGCACAGCAGAACCAGTGAAGCTGGATTCCTACAGGCTTGCATCCCACGTCCCCTACCTGCCCCAGCTCCCTCCCTCTGTTTGGACATCCCAGGAACATCTCATTTCTCACCCACTCCGTGGGACACACAGAGCACCCTCCCACACTCCTACCAGTTCTGCTGGTTTGGGGCTACTGGGCTGCACATAGACTGAAACCTCACGGGGCAGTGGGAGCTGAGCCCTCCTTAGCCAAAACAGCAGCATTTGAGAGCTCTGCTTTTGTCAAATTTGGTCAAAAATTCAGTCACTCAAATGGGTTTAAATTCCTGACATTTGGAATAGAATAGTCCTATGGGCAACATCACAGAGCCTTTAATGTACCTGAAAAGGAAAGGAAGTCAAGCTGGAAGGGATCCAGGCTTGGATTTGGGTTTGTGTTAAAAGTGAGCAACATGAAAGCTGAACATACTAAATGTGTTACAGAAATTTCCACAAGTCAGTGGGGCCAGCCAGTCAGTTTGGCTTTTTTTGGTTTTCAGACTGGTTTGCAGATTCCCAAGTACATAAGTATCTGCAGATATCCAGATTTTGCATAGCTGGACCTTGGGATCCCCAGATACTCCACAGCAGAGCTGGGATTGTATATTCACATGAATAGCTCTGTGGATAGAAGCATGGTAGGGAAGAGGAGATGTAAGGCATGAGGAACACAATCATTTCCAGATAAAGTGAAATTTGACACAGCAGAATCTCAAATGGAAAACTGAGATCAGAACTGCAGAAGTTTGAACAGCACCTGCCTGTTACTGAGGCCTCCCACAGCAGAGCAGTCAAGTTCTCTTGAATTTGAGTGTTTCTTTATCAATGGAAAACTAATCTGTAGTATTGGCTTTGATTAAATCAAGTGGCAACAGCTGGCAAAGCCTCAGATATGGCTTGTGTGACCTTTGGAGGGAAAATATAAGTATGTAAATTCATTCCCAAGGGACTGCTGGGGAAATCAGGATTGTCACAGCCATGGCTGCTGCCTTCTGCCAAGTCCCAGGGCTGCAGCTGAGCTCTGGGCTTGGGTGTTCTTCACTGGCATCACCTCTTGATCTTGTGGCCAGGCTGCAGCTCACCAGGGCACTGTGGCAGGTGGAAAACACAGGCTGAGGCTGATGCAGGGGGACAGCAGCTGGAAATGGAGGAGCTGATGTTCTCTCAAAGGATCAGGTGCTCCTCTGGCCACGGGGAGATGTTGTAGGGCCTTCTCAGTCTCCTCAGGGAGGTTACATCAGTTGCCAGCTTGGAGTGTGCACATCTAAGGGGACACATCAGACATCCTCAGGTGTGCCCTGGGAGAAGTGCTTCCAAAGGGACTGGCACTTACTGCTCAAATGAGATAAAAACTGTTCTAGCCACAAGGCTTTAGGGAAAATTGTCTTTCTCCCACACTAAATTATTGCAGTTAGTGTGTCACACTCATGTGTGAGACATATGAGAAAGGAAAGCTGGACTCTCAAATTCCTTGGGTTCCCATCCATGAATTACATTTTGTTCCTGCTTCTGACCAGCCAAGTCTGCTTAAGCTGCTGTAATTCTAACCATGGGCATTGATCTTTCTCCTCATACTTAGGATGATCCCCATGTCTGTAGGAGCATCCAGTCCCATGGTCAGTTTTTAACCAGAAACATCCTGGAAATATATTTTTCAATACATATTTCAGCTTGGCTGGTGTGAATGAGCTTGACAGGTGGCAGCATCCCAGGACTAGGATGAATCCTTTACAGATGTTAGAAGAAAGAGGAGTTTCTCTAGGAGAAACAAGGGCAATGTCTCTTAAGAAGTGCCACGTGTGATTACAGGAGAGTTCAAGCATAGTTTTACATCAGGAAGGCTCTCCTGGCTGAGGGCAAGAGAGACTGGATGACAGTGATTCTTCAAGGAAGGCAGCCTGTTGGGGAATTGTTCAGACTCAAACTGCTTCCTCCACACTCCACATGCAGCTGAAGACATCCAGTAGATCAGATCCATAGGTGAAGCTCCTGAACAAAGCCAAGCTTGGCAATTAAAATGTGGTCACGATGTCAGTCTCCACAGCCCATAAATCAAGGCAGAATGTTTTATTCAGGCTTCCGTTTCTCACTCTTGGCCAGGCCCAGCCTGTACAAAGTTCACTGACAGCTTACAACAAGCTCTGTTGTGCCACCAGGCACTGGAAAAATACTCTGGATATCACCTGGACCAAGTTGTGGCAAGATGTTTTTCTACCAGTGACCATCAAAGTTGCCTTTGAACAAGATTAATTCCATTCTCTCCTGATCTGATCTGTATTTAAGCAGGTGATATGTGGAGGAAGGGCTCAAATTTATCAGGAAGATCTAGAGATGGAACTGCTGTCAAGATCAGTCTCTTAAGAGTTACCTTTCTGGGATGAGAGGGTTTGTTACACTTGCTGCCTTGGCAGGAGGAAGGCACATGAAAGCACGGGTTTCTTTGGCACCTGCTAAATGTCACAATATCCTCTCATTCCTCCAGCACAGCACAGGGGTCCTGCTGTGTGCCAAGGGATTCTCCCCCCTCCTAAAGGTTTCTCTGACATCTGAAATGGAAATTTATGGCTTCAAGGATGGACTCAGCCAGCCATGGCCATGAAAATCCCTCTGCAATTCACAGTTTTCCATCTACCCTAGCGCTCCCGTGCTTGCAGTTTTCCCAGTGTTAGAGCAATTCCAAGTTAGTCCCAGTTCCTCGAGTGGTTTCTCTGCCCCTAAAATAATTAATCAGTGTTGGAGCCTGTAGATCAAACCCAAAGGAACTGTTTTCCCAGTGTTAGAGCAATTCCAAGTTAGTCCCAGTTCCTCGAGTGGTTTCTCTGCCCATAAAAGAATTAATCAGAGTGTTTGAGCCTGTAGATCAAACCCAAAGGAGTGGGCACTGCACCTGTGCATCCTTCCCCTGTTCTTCAGCCGGGGTTGATGCTGAGGCTGTGCCGCAGCACCGCTGCTCGTGTGTGCTCAGGCAGAGTCTGCAAGGGAGCTGCAGCCCAGACTCTCCACATCACAGCAGCCACCAGCAGGGAGAGTGTCTTGTCAGGGTGAATAAAGCATGGAAGCTACTCCAAGAAACATCTTTTTGACTCGGGCAGTGTCTTTCAGCTGCCATGGCTGAGCAAAGCTCTCCAGCATGAAGCGTCCAGGCAGGTGGAAGTAAAGAAGGAATATGAAAGACCCCACAGCAGCTGTGTGTGTGTGGTGGAAGCAAAAAAGGCAGGTGGGAGGAAAAAAGGCAGGAAAATAAGTACCCTTGATTGCTGCAGGAGCATAATGGCTCACCTGACACCTCAGCTGTCCAGGTTGTTGTCCTGCCTGCTGCAACTTGCCGAGAGTTTTTAAAGAAGAAAAAAATGGGCCCTTTTCAGGCTCTCTAATTGCTGTTGGGATTTCAACAACTGAGCTGCTTTGGTAGCAGGAACAAATCAAATGAGCCAGTCAGGCTCCACTTGGAAGCTTGTTATGTGTGGAGAGGCGAGGAAACTCTTTGTTCCACTTTCAAGGGTTGCATCTTCATTTGAATTGCCTCCCAGCCTGGCTTTTTGTCTCACGACCTGCTGCTGTGTCCTGTAGGTGATTCAAAGTGTGAAGAATGACTGAAGAGCATCTGCTCTGCTCTGCACCAGCCTGTAATTGATTGGAAATAATGGCTGTTAGCCGTGAAACCCATTTTCTCTGCACATTGGAATCAATCACTGCGTCGAGGGGAGGGAGCTGCAGCACGTGCTCTTCCCTTCTTTGAAGAGTCTTGGAGCAAATTCTGGTTTTTAAGCCTCACTCACCTGCAGCTAATTTTTCCCTGTCTGCTGCCCTTCCTGTACAGCTGTTTATTTTATAAGGAGGGCTGCTATTTCTTTCTGAGAAATGCAGCAGATTTTCCTTTAAAATAGGGTGCATGGTCAGGGCCTGGGAGTGTGATGGAGGATCACATGCATGTGGACTTTTAAAACCAGGTGTGGCTCCAAGATCTGTAAAGAGAAAGAGTGGTCTGGGTTTGCCAGCTGGGAATGTGTCTGGATTCAGTGAGAAATGAAGGAGCAGTTGGGGTCTGCCAGCCCAGGGGAGTGAGCAGGGGGCTGGAAGGGCTGACAGGGGGTCCCTGCTGCTTGGCTGGGGGAGAGCCAGAGACTCCAGCCTGCAGAGCTGTCCCAGCAGGATCCAGCCTGTGGGGGTGACCAGCTGTGTGCCAAGGGATGACCAAGCTGTGGCCCTCACCCTGGATGTCCCCTTGGTTGTGGCACTGGCTGTCCCTTGCAGTGGTGTGGCAGTGACCTCTGGGGACTGAGGCTCGTTAGTGCAAAACTGGGAGTTGGTGGAACTTTGCAGAGCTTTCCTGGCATTTCTAGCCCCCAAATATCTGGGTCAGTCCCAGTGATTTTCCAAGGAAGCATCTTGTTTAAGGCACTGTGCCCTTTGGCATGCAGGGCAGCTGCAACCAGGACAGCCATAAATGGGGGTTCATGTGTGTTCATTTGAAACACATGAAAGTGACTAAATCTAATAAATGAAATGAAATTGAGAATTGTTTTTCCTTTGGAATCATCTCTAAATTCAGGACCCAAAGGAGAACTGCTTGACAATACACCTGCAATATGTTTCTTTTCAAAAGCAATTTTAATGGTGATCTTCTGAATAAGGTGTGTTGTTAGAGACACTCTGTCACCTCAGAAGTGGGGTTCCTGCCCTTCCACCTTCCCATCCAGTCAAACTTCAGGAAAAACACTAGTCAAAAGCTGAAAAATATTCCAGATATTCCTAGTTGACAGCAGTGAGATTAATTATTATTTTAGTCAGCTTTGAAGATCGTAAAGCTTCTGCCTGCCCAAAAATCCCCCTCCATGAAGAATCTGGCATGTCTAAGACAACATATGGGTCGAGGGAGGAAGGTGGTAAGACACAGAGCAACAGGGGAAGGAGGTGGGCAAGGGAAGAGCTCTTGGTAACCGGTTTAGTATGTTTAAAATCAATACAAAAAGGCTGCTGCAGCTCCCCGTGGCGTCCTGCCAAGAGCTGCATCCCAGTGGTAACGCCTCAGAAACAGCCTTTGCCATTTCCGTGGGAATAAAGCAGGGAGCACAGCGTGATAGCCTTGGAAAGGAGGGGATGACACATTCCTCTTGCAGCTCTGCTGGGAGCCGGAGCTCTGCTCACGAGTGACGTTTCCCTCCTGTTGCAGATCTCTCGGATGGAGTACGTGCATTCCAAGAACCTCATCTACCGGGATGTCAAGCCGGAGAACTTCCTCATCGGCCGCCAGGGCAACAAGAAGGAGCACGTCATCCACATCATAGACTTTGGACTGGCCAAGGAGTACATTGACCCTGAAACCAAAAAACACATTCCCTACAGGGAGCACAAGAGCCTCACTGGAACAGCGAGATACATGTCCATCAACACACACCTTGGCAAAGGTTTGTCTGCACGGGGAGAGCTCACAGAGGGTCCTTCAGGCTGGAGGAGCTCTCTGAGGTCACTGAGTCCAACAACTGACCAGCACTGCCGTGTTCACCTCTAAACCATGTCCCCAAGTGCCACACTCACACGTCTTTTGAACGCTTCCCAGCGTGGTGTGACTCCACCACTGCCCTGGGTAGCCTGTTCAATCCTGACAACACTTTCAGTGAATTATTTTCTAATATACAACCTAAACCTTCCCTGGTGTTGCTTGAGGCTGTTTCCTCTTGTCCTTTGTTCCCCTGTCCTTTGTTCCCTGGGAGCAGAGCCCAACCCCGCCCCCTGGCTTCCCTCTCCTGTCAGGAGCTGTGCAGATCCAGAAGATCCCCCTGAGCCTCCTTTTTTCCAGGCTGAGCCTCCCCAGCACCTTCAGCTGCTCCTGGTGCTGTAGCTCCTTCCCTAGCTCCAGTCCCTTCCCTGGACACATTCCAGCTTGCCATTTGAATCCTGCAGACCTCCCAGAGCATCTTGGCTGAGCTCTCTTGTGCCCCTGAAGCTATTTGTGAACCTCCCCATGCAGTTTACAGTTATGTGGCTTTTTTTTCCCTCCCTTCTTTTGAGGAATTGAGCCAGCTGAAATGCTGGAAGCCTCATAATTACAGTTTTTATTAGGAGCTAAATAACTGGGAGCAGCCCTGCACTGATAAAAGACAAGCAGGCAGGCAGTGATTGCTGCACTGGATGATAGACAAATAGATTTTTATAGCACAGCACTGTCCCAATGCCTTCCAGTTCCAGGTGTTAGAGTTGGATGTTCCCTGACCTAGTAATTGGTTGGAGAAAATGAATGATTTAAATAACTTTAAACCTGGCTTTCATCTCCTCTCCTCCCTGTTTTCTTTCCTACCAGAAGATTACATTTCTGTGGCTGAAAGGCAAAAAATAACCTATTAAGTGTTTATAGTCTCTTAAATCCATACAAGCAGTGAGATAATGGAATATTCTCCAGGAGGCTTCCTAGCGTGTTGGATCCCACTTGGAGAGCTCACTGTCTTTGGGGAGTAAGGAGGGATGAGCCTGGTTTCTAATTCTGGAAAGTGAGGAGTCAGGCAGGGATGGAGGAATGGGAGGGTGCAGTGGGAGCAGGTTGGGAAGCTGCTGGTGCAGGTGATGTGGAGGGAAGATGTGTTTGTGGTTGAAGTGCACCGTGTGCCTTCCTTAGGATCCATTTCCCACAGGATTTCAGCTCCCACCATGGCTCATGCAAGGGAAGGGTCCAAATCAGTTCTGGGGTGTATTTGAGGGGGCTGTCCCTGCCCAGAGGGGTTGTGAGGAGCTGATGAGACCAGCCCAGGTGGAATCAATCTTTTCATGTTTCAAACTCAGGAGTCTGCAGTTTTGCTGAGAGACAAGTGCACTCAACCATCTTCCTGGAAGTCCATCTGCATCCCTGCACTAAATTACCCAGGGCATCTTCTTTTTTTCCCCTTTTTATCAGGATAACTGCTGGAACTGTAGGTTCAGTTCCCTTCTGCCCAGTGTTCCCACTCCCAGCATCTCCTGTGGGTTAAGTGGCTGCAGTGTCATGGGCTGGATCTGCTCTGGATCCTGGATCCTGCTCTTTGGAGCAGGTGGGGTTCAGAGGAGGGAAGGATGCACCAAATGAGTCCATGAGCTCAGTGAACCCAAGAGTGCAGCTCAGCCCAGCCCAGTGTTGCCTCCACATCTGTTGTTCTCTTATATCCTCCCTTGGGGTTTTGGATACATTTTGGCTTCTTGTTTTAGGATATTTTTCCTTTGGCTCCATGCCCCTTTTTCCCCCCTTCATTTATAATTACAACATCTGCATGTGGCAGCAGCAGCAAGTGTTCCATGGCACTGGAAGGAGCTATTTTTGATCTGCTCTGATGAGCAGCAGAGGAAATTAGGAAAGGGTTGACGCTGTGCAAGGGTAGATCCCTGCAGCTGGTTGTGAGTATCCCATTCCCCTTTAGTCCAGAGGGAATGATCCAGCACCACATGGCACCATTGACACTAGCAGGTCAGAGAAGAATTGAGGCACTGCTTTATTCCTCTGCAATTAAGAGTTACCCATTCTACCTCAGGCTGGACGTGTGTTGTGCAGTTCCCATGTTACCTCATGGCTTCTGGCTGATTTTACACATTTTCTGGCTTTCTGAAAAACCTTCTGGTTTTGCACAAGATCTGAGCTGCAGACAGTGAGAGAACGTCCCTGTGGTACCTTTATCTCGGGTACAGGTGTGGCTGCTGCAGAGATCTCAGAGCCATTTCTGCTTCTGCAGCAATAATTTCACCTCTTCTCTTTCAGAGCAAAGTCGTCGAGATGACTTGGAAGCCCTTGGCCATATGTTCATGTATTTCCTCCGAGGCAGCCTGCCCTGGCAAGGATTGAAGGTAGGTTCAAGCTTTAGGTTTTGTCCTTTAAAACTTTGGCTAGTTTCTACCCAAAGGAGAATCCACTGGGAAACGTTGGCAAAATCCAGCCAGAAACTCTGTCCTCTCCTTTGTGTTCTTGCAGCCTAACACCGAGGCATTAAGTTTAGCTGCAGGGAAAATTTTAAGGTAGAAATGCTTTACCTGGCACTTCAAATTGCCAAATTGGTACAGTTTTGGAGAGAAGGTTGAACAGAGAGACAGAGACAGCAATGAGAGAGCTGTGATTGGAAGCTGCCCTGAACTGGAGCGTGACTGGGACACAGTGATTGTTTATGAAATTCCAGTTACGGCAACACAATCCCCCAGCTGCATCTGTGATCCGTGTTTATAATGGAGCAGTTTGATGGGTTTAGATGCACAGATGGACTTCAGCTTGAAAAACTGGTTTTCTGGCACAAGTATTGGACTTGGCTTCCCTCCAGAGACACTGGACACTCAGTGCTGGGGAGCTTATGAGATGCTGTGTACAATGTGGAGAGCTGCAAGAAATTGAGTTGCTGACTGCTGCCAACATCCATCAGCTGAGCTAACAAGGAGTAAGTCATTTGCTGGCTCCAGAGCTGTTGGAAGCTGCATCTTCACTTCTCCATCACCTCCCTGATGATTAAGCTACTGTGTTCAGTTTTGGCATTGAAGGGAGTGAAGGGACTGATCAAGTTAGGTTTATCAGGGAAGACGAGAGCTCCTGTTGGTAAAAGGAGCCAAGGCTTTGGGTTCAGGAGCTGCTTGGCAGAGCCCTGCATTGGTCAGTGGGTATAGACCCAGTTGGGTTGATAGACCTTGTTCAGCTGTTTTTTACCACCTCTTGAGTTACTCTCAGCTCAGCCTCATCAGGCACATGCCAGAAATGTTGGCAACTGCTCATAAAAGAAAAGAAGGGTTTTTCAAGCATGAAAGGGATTGTGAAAGAAATCAGACTCTCTGATTTTATGTCCACGCCTCTCTGTGTGTTATTCTAGTATGTATTTTTTCTGGCTTAGTTGAACTCATCTGTTTTAAATTAATCCTGTAAATTATTCTAAAATAATTCCAAGTTTATACAAGGTTCTACAAAAGTTCCTCAGTTCCGTGTTAAACTTGATAAGAATTAGTTGACTCCTTTTTGAGGTCCAGGGCAAACACAGACTCCCCAGCTGGATTTAGAATGTGGCATCTTTGCCCTTCTACGTTTCCTTGGCTTAGACTTTTGACAGTACTGTACTGTCAGGGCTGTGTCTGCAGAGAAGGTCTACAGTGCTAATTATGCTGCTGCCAGGTCTAACTGACATATTTTGAAATGGAGGCAAGAAACCCCACTTTTAGGGTGTCAGCTGGAGCAGACTTCTCTGCCTCGGGTTGATTTAGGTGGGAATTCCAACTGCAAGTGGTTTCATTTTCTTGTTGACCAGCTGTTAAACCAGTGCTGAGTGATGGATGCTTTGGAGGTGACAGGAAAGGCTGTGTGGGAGCAGCCTGGGATTTGGGAGAAGTGCACTGATCTAGTGTCATTATCAATGTGGGTAACATCCTTTTGCACAGAGGAAAACCCAAATTGCTGTAGAATGGGTCTGTGAATTTCACCCAAATTGCTGTGAATGTGCTGTGCAAGTGCTGTGCATTTGTTTGTGAAGGCAGCTCCATGGCCCTTAGCCTGGGGAGGTCCAGATGTGCCATCACAGTTCATGCACCTTTATTTCGTTCTCCCATGAAACCTTCCCTGCACAGTCCTCAGGACTGAGCTGTGAGAAATGAGCCTTGTAAGACACTAATAAGCGTCCTGCCTTTTGTGAACTGTTTTGAACATCCTTGGATGTTCTCTCCCAATAGCCTGTGACATATTCCTACTGGTGTAGTCCTGGATGCAGTTCAGTTACAAGCAACATCTCCTGGTGTCACCCAGAATGGGCATTAAATACCTTGTTTTTCTTCCCATACAGCATGTCCTTTCTCACATGGTTGAACTCTTTCTCCACAACTGTTTTGTCTTTGTGCGCTGCAGGCTGACACCTTAAAAGAGAGATATCAGAAGATTGGGGACACAAAGAGAAACACTCCAGTTGAAGTTCTCTGTGAGAACTTTCCAGGTAAAGCCCTGATGGGATCGTGTGAGTGCAGCTGGAGGTGGCCATGCCTTGTTAAGTAGGATGGGCCTGCACTCCTGTCAGAAAGTATTGGATGATGTGTATCCATCACATCGTTCCTCAAGCTGGCAAACAACTGGAGCTGCTGCTATAAATTAGCAGGGCCTGAGGTCTTAAAATGAACAAAACTCTTCTCATCAAGGAGGCTGGACAGTGCTCAAGGGCCTCCTATGCCTGTTTTACTCCTTGGCTTCCTTCCAAAAAGCTCCTTGTTATTTTCCCTTTCCCAAATGACTGTGCTGGAACTACTGAGTTAATTCTTTTCCAAATTGAAGGTTTTACAGGTGTTGCAGGCATAGGTGGCCAGCTTGGAAGATGGAATGGTGTGTCTGTCCATGAATTCCACCTTCTGAGAGCAATTTTAGGGAGAGTGTTACTAAAGTGTGCTTCTAGCCAAGCCCAATACCTGATCTCCAGTTAAACAGACCTTGGAGCCAGGAGAGCAGGGTACAGAGTTAGTGCCTTCCCCAGGGTCTCCAGGCCACAGAGTGGGCTTGGGAGGTTTTGTGGAGCATTTCTGAAGTCCTGACACCAGGGAGACCACCCACAATTAATCCCATTCCTGTAGGAGCTGTCGTTCCAGCATGAGGGGCAGCAAGCCTGGAATGGGATCATTGTTCACTCAAGTCACTGTAATTCCCCAGATGTCTCATTCCAAAATCCATCTGGTTCCAAGCAGAACAGCTTCAGGTTGGCTGTTGTCATCTTTTTGCCAATACTCCTCCTCAGAGCTCCTTCAGGTCTGGGCTGGTAGATGAGAGAACTGAGTTCTGTCCCTTCCTTGCCTGAAACTGGTTCTCCCACTTCTGGAGGTACTTAAAAGAGAGGATTCTTTCTTGCACTTTTTTCCCCCTCTTTTTCCTCCATGCAAGCCACAAGCTACAGACAGAGTTAAGTATCAATAAGCAGTTCTATTCTTATTTTTGTCAGCTGAAGTCAAGGCCATGAGCCAAGGGAGAGCTGGGAAAAGGCAGGACATGAGCTCCCAGGACTCAATATTCTGTGCAAGCAAAGTGCGACCCAGATGCAGGAAAGCAATTAATTATCCTAACACCAAACCCTGGTCTGTAAATTAACCCTTTTCAGGTAAATTAACCTTGGAGCCTCCCCCTCTAGTCTAGTTTTGAATATTCAGGTGCTGCCAGTGTCATGATGGGACACCTTCCACTATTCCAGGATGCTCCAAGCCCCATCCATCCTGGCCTTGGACATTTTCAGGGATGAGGCAGCCACAGCTTCTCTGGGCAAGAGCATTCTAAATACCTGTGAGCAGCCTGTTGTCAGGTTCAGTGAGCTTATTTCTCACTCTGTTTATACAAATGTTTAGAATAAATCAAGGTGTGGAAGTCAGATTTGAGCAGAGGTGGGGCTTCCATCTTTGCTTGAGAAGCGTTTGAATTGTTTTTCATTGAGGACTGTTGCAAAAAACCACAACTTGTAGGAGAAAAGCCAGAGGTAAGCGCTGGCAGCCCAGACATTGGTTTCTAAGAACTCATTTGAAAGATCCAGGATAAAAGCTGCTGCTTTTTCCCCCTTCCTGACAGAGGAGATGGCCACGTACCTCCGCTATGTCCGGCGGTTAGACTTCTTTGAGAGACCAGACTACGATTACCTACGGACCATCTTCACAGAGCTCTTTGAGAAGAAAGGCTACACCTTTGACTACGCCTACGACTGGGTCGGCAGGCCAATTGTGAGTTGTCCCTGCACAATCCCATGCATTGCCTTCCAGGTGCTGCTTCCCCAGCATTGCCTTCTTGTTCTCAATAATCCCAATTAATGCCAGTGAGTTTAGGATCAAGTCTTTCAAATCTCAACACGGTGAGATGTCCTGATGTTGAGTTCAGGGGGTTCTTGCAGTGCCTCAAAGTTTTCCTGAGGGAAAGAGACCCCATCCACCTCTCTGGACATTCAAGCCTCATTTTCCCATTTGTGACAATGATCATGATGAGAATTAATTCCCTCTGGTTTAACACAGGATTGGAGATCAGGATCTAAAATACATCTTAAAGGAGAATCACAGAAACCCCCTGTAATGGTCATGTTCCCATCAAAAAGGTGCAGGAGATCAAGGCAGGTTTCTGATGGATTGTCAGTGGATAGTAGAATCCCAGAATGGTTTGGGTTGGAAGGGATCATTAAGGCCACTTTGTTCCAACCCCCTGCCACGGGCAGGGACACATTCCACTATCCCAGGTTGCTCCAAGCCCCATCCAGCCTGGGCTTGGACACTACAAGGAGTGGGGCAGCCACAGCTTCTTTGGGCAACCTGTGCCAGGGCCTCACCACCCTCACAGGGAGGAACTTCTCCCAGATATCTAAACTAAACTTGCTCTCCTGAACTCAGAATATCTTGGAGGACACTCAGAGACTGAACCACCTCTGTACAATACATGGCAAGGAAATGTGGGAGAAACCAGCCTCCATTTAGCAGTTCCATGACTCCATGTGGACCATCACCCTGATCTCATTGCATGACTTTTACCATCAAAACCCAGTTAAACTCAGGAAAATCTTAGCCAAAGGATGTGTTGTGGGGAAATATGGTAGAAGAATCTAAAGCTCTTTGGTTTTGGGTCATTCTGCTCATGACCCACCCCAAAGAGCAGTAAAGACATCTGTAAATGAATTGTCACTGGTGCCAAATCAAATGCCATCAGTGCTAAACTTGTACCACTGCTGGTGCTTCAGTGTCCCAACTATATTTAGCATTCCCCATGCTTACTGTGCTCAACGGAGTTCCTAAGAAATCATTCCCTTTGTGAATCAAGATTTTCTCTTCATTTTTCTTTAATTACAAAGGCAGTTGATAAAGAGCACCTTGTAAGACAAGTGTGCTGTTGCTGACAGCCACGGTGGTTGCCATGGAGATCTCGATGTTGGGAGCAGGGATTATGACTTGGGTGAGAAGAGAGCAGATGAAGCTTTAATTTTAACACGTCCTGTTTCTATGCAAGCGTGATTTTTACAAGTGGTGAGACAATGGGATGAGGAAAACAAGCCTGTATATTTTCAGTTGTAATAATTCTGTGTGAGACACACTAGCTGTGATCTGACATCGAGACAGGCACCTAACTGTATCTTCTTAATTAATTTTTACACAAGACAATCGGTGCTGGTGTCCACCATCAAATTTCATGACTGTAAATCACAGGGATTTTATAGCCCTGGCTGTAATTCTCCTTGGCTCCTTTGGGCAGTGTTTTGATGTTTTTCTTCTTCCTGTTGCTTGACAAGGTGGGTTTGTGCATGTGAGAGTCTTAGCCCTAATGAACACCTTATTTTCCAGCCTACTCCCGTGGGATCTGTCCATGTGGATTCTGGAACCTCTGCAGTGACAAGAGACAGCCACATGCACCGGGACCGACCATCCCAGCAGGCGCTCCGCAATCAGGTGTGCTGCTTGGCTCCTCTCCCAGCTCCCCTGGCACTGGAGAAGCAGAGTTCAGATGGATGGGGATGATTCTTGGTAACAGCAAGGACAAATCCTGCTTAACTTAGAGGTGGTGATTTGAGCAGGATTTTGTCAAAGCAACAGGTTGTTGAAATAAGGTATCAACCAGTGGAATTCCTTGGTATTGTGAGCTAACCAGAGTCCAGTTGGAATGGGGTTGTTTTTCTGTAGTTTGTGGGTAAACAGGTTAAAGTTAAACATGCAGCATGGTTAGACTCCATGACTACCACATTTTTTGATGTGCTTTTTCTCGTAGCACATGGACTGTGGAGCAGACTGAGAGTTGTGCTGATGGCAGCCTGTTCCCAGGTGCCCTCTGCCCACAGAGCTTGTGGTGTGACAGGGATGTGTGTCCCAAGAGCATCCATGTGTCCTTCTTAGAGTGTCCAGTTCACAGTGTGAGTGTTGCAGAGCACAAAGGACAGGCAGGGCAGAACCCTGAGGAAGGCATCACAGTCTGGATGAACTGCCACGGGGAAACTGAATTTCCCATTTTTCCCTTTCTTGTTGTACTGTTTTGTTGGTGTTGATAGTTTGGATTTTCTGTGTTAACAGAATTCACAGACTTGCAGTAAATCTCCAATTGCAGCTCCCAGCTGGAGCTGTTGCTGCTCTTATTCTCAGGGAGTGGTCCCAGGCTTTTTCTGCTCCCCCAGCCTCCAGGTTCTGCTCAGTTCCTCAAGCCAGGGTTTGTGGGTGCAGAACCAAGCATGGGGTGTAACAGCCTGGGCTCAGCCTTGCTGGGCTCTGAAGGGTTGCACAGCTAACACAGGGTAAGACACATCCCAGTGGAGATGACCCCTCCTTGGGCAGTGTTGCTGTAGGAGGCTGGGTTGTTTGCAGCATGTGTACATGGTGATGAGTGTGGGCTGGTGTGTGAGCCCTGATACAGTCATCTGCTTTAATAAATACCCTGATGGATGCACTAACCCCCTGGTTTTGGGAGGATTGTTCAGCCAGTCTCCTATTGTCCACCTTAACCACAGACCTTCACATTGTGTGTGTGAGGCATCGTGTTTCCTTGACAGCACAGTGACACCTGGCTTCGTTTTCAGGCATTTTAGTTCACAAAGGCCCAAAGAAATTCCAAAATATGCAGGCAGCCTGCAGGCCTTGTTCTTCTGAGCTGCACAGATAGTCCAGTTCTGGATTGCACAGCAGCTTTTGTCATATTTTCACCTAAACATTATAGGATGATTAATTGTTTAATATACCATGAGGGAAATCAGATTGTTCTCACCAAAACACAAACAATTCTCTTCTGAGGGATGTTCCCTTAAAGTCTTGAGCAAAACATTTCTCTAAAGGCAAAAAGCAAAAAAAAAAAAGTCTTGAGAATTGAATTGGAGGCGTGGGTTTGGGTCCTCCTCCTTCTCGTCCCAGCCACATCTTTTGTTCTCTTAAGTATCTTAGCAACAGATGAGACAACATTCCATGAGAGAAAGAAACAAAAGGAAAAACCCTAACCCCCAACAGTGACCCACCTGAGCTTCAAATGCAAAGTGATTCTTCTAAGGAAATAAATGAAGTTCTAATAATTTAAATCACTTGTTGTGCTCATCTGTTGGGGGCAAAGAGGAATCTTGTTAGCCAAAGCATCTTATCTACTTTTCTGCAGAAACCCCAAAAGCCCCCAACCCTCTCTACAGTCAAGCAGGTGTGGATGTTTCCTTCTGCACTGCACAGGTGAATCAGTGTGTGGAACTGCCTTTGGCTTTGGTTTATGTTGCAAATTTTAGTTTAAAAATATGTGTTTGAGGGACATTGAGCTTGTGAATCCCATCTTGCTGCCGTGCTAAGTGCTCTGGTGTATGTGGCCTGACAGACATAGTTAAATACTGTGAGTGTAATTGTGACCATGTTGAAATCCACGGAAGTGAAGCTGTTGTAAAGAAATTATTTCCAGAATAGATCTTTTCCTTTATACAGCAGCTGAAGGATGTGAAATCCACTCCCACAGTGGATCAGTGCAGCCACCATGGAAGTAAATAATGAGGTGCACTTGGTAAAGGGGAATTTTAGCCCAGCTACAAGTGTAAATGCCTTGCTTTCTGCAAAGAAACTAACTTACTAACCAATAGACCTTTATTCCTTCTCCTCGTTCACCTTTTGCCCTCCCTTCTGTTTCTTTCATGCTGCTGAACTCCTGAGCAGGCGTCATCGGATCGCCGCGGAGAGTGGGAGATCCAGCCGAGCCGGCAGACAAATACCTCGTACCTGACATCTCATTTGGCTGCAGATCGACACGGAGGATCAGTGCAGGTACCTCTTCCCTCTCTTGTGTGCAGCCCTTGTGCTAAACCCCCTGAATTCTCCTCAAATTGCAGAAATGTTGTGCTCAGGAGAGCAGTTTCACTGGCGCTGTCCCATATGTCATGCTCCAGGCATGGTTTGGGAGGGACCCAAGCTGTGATACCCAACACCATGGCTTTTACTGTTTCAACAAAAAAATTTTAGCTGTTTTGAACCCAAATTTGTTCAACTGAAGACAGAAAGGAGTGGCATTAGTAGATCTGTAGGTTTGTAAAGTACCCTCTACCCTATCTTGGAGATGCCCTAGGGCAGTACAGGCAGCTGAAATAGGATTTGTTGTACAGTCTCCATTAATATTGGGAAAAGAGTTGAGCTGTTCCACAGCAGACCACCAGTTTGAGGGCACAGTGGGCACAAGGTGGATCTCCAGAGGGTTGCACTGGAAGGAGATGAGCAGAGCACGTGCAACAGTGTTGGAGCTGGCACTACAGTGTTTGCAAATTCCTAAAAAAATCCTATTTGTGAAGCCCTACATGTCCTGGTTGTCACTCAGGCTCGCTGAGGGACCTTCTGGCACTGAGTGAGCCAGAGTGAGCTGGCTGGACAAGCTGGAGAGAAGGTGCAGGAGTCATCCAAGCAAACAAGAACTCTGCTATCACTTTGGCAGAGCTTTGCTGTGAAAGCTGGCTCTGCTGTCAGACACAGCACCCTGAACAATGGCTCTGGTGAAATGGGAATTAGTGCTCGGAGCAGGACAGAGCTGAGCCAAGGAGACAGGTAGTGCAGGATGTCCCTAAGAAAAATGCAGATTAGGTTGACATTTTTTTACTTATTCTTGATACTTAGTTGCATTTAATGTGATTTTGGCTTGATTAGCCTCGGTCCTCTTTTAATTTGAAGATATTTTACTGAGTAGCAGAAAAACAAAGATAAGGAGGACCTGATCAATGTGTAGCTCTGCTCTCAGATGTGAGCAGAGTAACCTGGAGAAGTGTCCAAGGACAGGCTGGGTGGAATTTGGAGCAACCTGTTCTAGTGGAGGGTGTCCCTGCCCACGTCAGGGGGTTGGATTGGATGGACTGTAAAGGTTCTTGCTGACACAAACCATTCTGTGATTGCACAACTTCAGCACTCAGTACAGAGTGGATGTTTTTATTCATATTATTCATATAATTCATATAACACTTTTTTAATGAGTGTCTCATTCCACAATAAAAGCAGCCTACAAGCAAGCCTACAAGTCCATCAAGTGAGCCCCTGCTCCCTCCTAGAAACCCAAAGCAAAATGGCTCTCCTTGTGTCATAGTTAGCTGCTTTTATGTGTTATGTTCTTCCCACAGCCTGAATTCTCTGGGCATTCTTGTGGGCAGGTGGGGAGAGGTCACTCACAGTCTGATCATGGAGGCTTCCTCTGCCCTGATGGGCTGCAAGAAGCCTCCCCAGGGACAGGGCTGCTAGCACAACATGTACAGCTCTTACAGGAATCTTTCAGCTCATGCGTAACATATGTTGAGACATAAATAAAAATCAGACTGGTGAGGGGAATGTTTCCTTGTGACAGCAGCACTGAAGCAGCCCTAGGAATCGGATGGGAAGAGTTGCCAACCTGAGCAGTTTACGAGCTCCTTGTGTCCCTGTAAGCACTAAAATTCTGCTTATCTGCAGTTGAGAACAGGAAATGTGCTCTGTGTGTCTGCTAAGCTGCAGAGAATTGTTCCTCAGCAGACGCCCCAGCTCATGCTGGACTTTGGCAGGTCAGCAGCTTCGAGTCCCCATTCCCTTTAAGGCTGAATTTGCCACATGAAAATGAAGTGGTGGCATGTGAAAAGCGAGGAGGAAAATCAAAGCCTTTTGTAACATGGGATTTAACAAGTAGCTGAACAAAGTGTGGGAAGAGCCCTGGGAACAATGCAATTAATGCCAGTGCTCTGCAGATCTGCAGGGGAAGCATGGGGGTCTGGAGAACCCGGGGCAGCCCAGGCATGGTAAGGGAAGGGGTGAAGACCAAGGAGTTGTCACTCAAGGAGAGCTCTGAGCACCATGTGAGCCAGGTTCTGACCTGTCCTGGCAGAGCCCAAGGGACCTTGTTGGTGGAAACAGCAGCTTCTTGTAGGACTGAAGTGTTCAAAATTAACATAATATGCAGACTTAGGGGACATCTGCTCCAAGGGCTTCATTCCCTTCATCCCTTGTGGTCATTTCATCCAGAGCCACCAGGAGTTCTGAGTACCACCCCTGCCCCCACCCTATGGGAAATGCCTCCTTTTACCTTTTTAAAAGGCTAAGAGGAGGATCAGAGTGGGGAAACCAGGCGTCCTGACAGCTCTGGAGCCAAGAGCAGCTCCCAGTTTTCACAGCAGGATGCAGGAGCCTGTGCTAACATCCAGGTGAAGCACGGAAGGGTTGGCCAAACTTCCCTCCCATGCAGGATGCTTTGGGGGTTGTCATAGTAATGAAGCAGTGATTAGTCATCCAGAAAATTATGTGGATGTCTTGGTTTGAAAGACGGGTATCTGCCAAGGAAGGCAGGAACCTCCCTTGGAACGGAAAATACAGCTCTCTTCCTTCTGAATTACTGTAACTTTGAAATGAAGGAATGGCGGGCAGAAGGGATGGAAAAGGCACTTCCTTTGCAAACCCCAGGGACAGCCAGTCCCCGTGCCTCTGCAGATGGTGAAATGAGCTGCAGCAGGAACCTCGGAGTGGCAGCTGGAATGGCAGAGGCCAGCATGCCCTGGGGTGGTGAACAAAATGTAGCAGAAACTCCACAGCCATAGCAGCACCTGGGGGTGTCACAGCAGGCACCAGTGCTGGGTTAAAGTGTGGTGAAAAAGCCTGAGGCAGCAGTAGAGCTGTGCCCTGTGGGAAGGGAGAGCAGTTCAGGGTCCCAGTTTTTCTTCTAAGGCACCTGAGTTGATGGTGGAGGGTCCTTTGCAGTGTGATCTGATGTTAAATAAGGTCCAGTCCTGTGGCTGCTCTTACAAGCAAAGGCTCACCCACAGTAAGGAAGAAGCACTACAGGGCTGGACTCCACAGTGGCAGTAACTCTATGGTTCAAAAATCTTGTGCTGCCTTTCCCAAGAGACAAGCCCTCAACTAAGAGAGTAGCCAGCTGCAAGCTTTCCCCTCACTGGCCACTTCTTTTGAACTGGATGGTTATCCTGTAATGGAAGAGCTTGAGTGAGCCATCATCTCAGGTGTGAGGCAAAAAGAGATGAGAGACTGTGTCAGTAGCTGTGGAGTGAGGACGTAATTCCCAAAATTGGCTGTGTAAGGAGTGAGATTTAAGGACTGAGGCTTCTCCCCACAGTCCTGTCAGGCAACAGGACTGAGCTGCTCACCTGTAAAAGTGTCAGGAGAAAACAATCAGCATGGTACAGCTCGTGTGTGTAGATAGGGCTGGCAGTCAGTGCTCACACCAGTGCCTGCACTCCCAGAGGAGCCTCTCGATGCCAAGTCATGTGCTGGGCACAGGAATGTGAGCAAGGGGCACACACACAGACCCCTGCCTGCTGCTCTGCCCTGGCTGCTGCAGCCTGGAGGCTCCAAGGCACCCACAAAACTCAGCAGCCTGCTGAGAGGGCGAAGAGGACAGGAGTAAATGGTTATTTGTCAGATTTCCCGTTCCCTCAGCAGCCCTTGCCAGGGAGCCTCGTGAACGGGGTGTTCCTTTGTGTTGCAGGTGGTGAGCTCAACCAACGGGGAGCTGAACGTGGACGACCCAACAGGAGCACACTCCAACGCACCCATCACAGCGCAGGCGGAGGTGGAGGTGGTGGAGGAAGCTAAGTACGTTTGCTTTACAACAGGCTTTCCACTGGTTGGTCATTATCCTTCTCCTGGGAAGCGAGTGGGGACATTTTTCTGTGGCAAAGTCCTCAGTGCTCGTGTCCCATGCCCTTTTCCTTGCTGCTTTTGTGCATGGTGCCTTCAGTGCTGCTGCTGCTGCTGCTTCTCTTTGACACTTGTCATGCCTGGAGAACATAAAACTCTTACTCAGAGCATGTACTGCCAGATAGACATTTCAGTAGCACAGATACCAAAATACCGGGAGCTGATCTCAGGAATCCCGGTGAGCAGCCCCCATTGCAGAGGGAGAACACGCTGTGCTTTCAAGGCTGAGAGTGTAGGAGTAGCTTGAGCATAGCTCAGCAAAGAGATCATTGGTCTGAGAGCTGTCACTTCATTTCTGCCTGTGAGGGGTGGGTGACAGGTATCCAGAACAGTCTGGAAGTAACTCTTGCAGGGATGGGTTGTTCTCCCTGGGAGTTCTCTTGGTCCAGCCCTGAGAGGAACCAGAAGCAGCTTGTGGAGGAGAAAGTGCTCCCTCTAAGCTGACCTCTCCTGTAGCTTGTGGTCAGGTGTGAAAACTGCTGTCAGAGCTGCTGCTTTGACCATTTTGGCTCCTGTCCTGTATCTGGCACCATCACGTCACCTTTTGCACCTTCTGAACTAAACCAGGACTGTCACTGCAGGGTCACCACAGAGTTCTGGCACAGGCCCAGGGCTGCCTTTGAACTGGTTGGTGCTGAGACATGGCCCTGCTGCCTGGTTATTGTTTGACTGGGTGATCCTGGTGCCCCTTGTCCCCCGTTGTTTGCCTCAGCCTTTGTGGACACTTCTGTACGAAGAGGAAAAGTGGCAGGTGTAAGGAGGGGTGTGTGGATGGAAAAGGTCCCTAGGTATGTGTCATCTGTGCTGGTTGTCCTGAAGGTCTTCTGCTCTCTGTTCCCCAATCCCTTGGGAATCCATGTGTGTGGGATCTTGCTCACTGGTAGCTGGCCTGGCCTTGATCCCAGCAGCCACAGACACACCTTCTCCTCCCAGCCCAAGAAGCCTCAGATTTGCTGCAGGCTCCTCATCAAGTTGGGAGGGTGGAGGAGATCTTGAGGAGCAACTTCCAGAGTGGGCAACATTCCTCTTAGATATGGATTGTGTGGCCAGCAGAGACCACCAGCTTGGCATCACGGGCTCTGAAGGGGGTCCCCCCGGGCGTGTGGCTCCTAGGATGGGGCAGATTGTCATCCTCAACAGTTCTGGTCCAACAACCCAGTGCAAGGAAGGACCAGGAACATCTCCAGCCCATGTTTGTGCAGCGAGGCCAGGTTCAGCCCCCACTCTGTGTACTAGGGAGATGTCAAGCCAGGTGGGAAGGAGCTGTGCCACCCAGGCCCTCTCCCACAGCATATGGAGCTGTCCTGTCTCTCTCCACCCCTTGTTTGTGTGCTCCCAGATTGGTTCTGGAGGTGCTGGGAAGCAGAGCATACACTGCTTTGCACTGACAGGTTTGGGGTCTCTTGTAATTCCCAAGCATAGATCACTTCATTCTGTTAGCCACAGGGAGGGCTTTGTCTTTCCTGACATCCCTGATCACACAAGAAGGGCAAAGGACTTTGGGATTCTGCTCTGCAGAAAAGGGTGCCAGAGAGAGCTGGCAGGAGCTGGAGCTGGGCTCTGTGTTTTGAGATGATGTGCAGTAGTGGGATGGGCCTTCCCTGGCACTCCACAGGCAGAGCTGTGCCAGTGCTTCTGCTTGGAGCCTGCTGGAGAAAAGCTCCAGATTCTGGCAGTGGGTGTCACTGGAGGGCAGGTCCCACGTCTAGATCCATCATCAGGCCCTTCTGGAGCTGCAGGGGACAAGAGCTGATGGTGGCCTGGAGTTCCTCTGTGACCCCAGACAAGAACCTGGGGGTCTGGTGCCTCCGTGGAAGGGGTGTTGTCAGAGCCTCGCCCTGGGAGAGGCGGCGAGGGCAGAGTGGTGTGAGTGTGGGGCGGGCGGCGGGCAGGCCTGGTGTGTGTCTGCCGCTCTGCACTGCATGTTTGCATGGCTGCAGTGACTCGCTTCCATCCCACCTCTGTGAACTAATCGCTCTTTCTTCCTTTCTGTGTTTTTTCTCTATACTCTCTGTAGCTGCCTGAAAATGCTCAACTTGTGGTGAGTCCCTCTCTCCAGTCCACATGCAAGGGGGAGCGGACCAGACTAGACTGGGGTTGGCAAAACCAAACCCACCAAACGCTAAAAAGGCACAAAGTCAAAGCCAACCCAGAGCTGTTTGATTTTAGGACCATTTGCAATATTGGGGAGGGCATGGGCTGTGTCTGACCGGCCACACTAGGCTGAGGGATTTGGCTGATCTCTGAATGGATGGATGCAAAATCAGATTTTAATCCTTTCCTATTTGGCTTTCCATCTCCCCCAAACGTTTACGTCTGTGAGCAGATGATGCCTGATGGAGTTGGGCAGAGTCAGGCCTAGGCTGGCTGAGCCTCTTGCAGGAATTCCTCACACAGACGGTTACAAAGGGAAAACCCTGCACTGAGTGTTGAGGAGAGGGGCCCGTCGCTTCCTTGGAAAATCTCCTCTTGGAGAAGCACAGGCCAGAGAGGATGGAAGGATAAGGCCAGGGAGTCCTCATTAGTGACAGAGCCCCTACTCAGAGAGGGTAGGTGGGAGGTGGCTCCTTTCCAGCCAGCTGAGGTGCAGGTGAATGGGCTTCTCCAGGAAAGAAGGGTTGGAAAGGTTGGGATTAGCAGTGGTCCAAGCCCAGTTTGGAACTTTATCAGAGCTTTGAAGTGTCCCAGTCTTAGTCTCAGGTTGTCCCAGGAGGTGCCCCTTGGGGAAACCACGTACCCAGTAAGTGAAGGGCCAAGCAGACAGTCAGATGAGTTTGTAGGTTCCAGGGTGGGCTGATAGGTGGAAATCATCACAGAGTGAGGGGACCAAGCCCGTGTGTGGCGAGGAATGTCCTTGTTGGATGGGAGACTGACTCTGCCCTGCTCTCCATAGGCATTGCCTCCAATACCTCTGGCATCTCTGGCTTCTCTGTATGTCGTAGTCTGGGGCTGTTCTCTTGGGCATCATCTGCATGCAGAGAGATCATGTTCTGTAATTGTCAGCCTGCCTTATCCTTTTATTTTGGTGTTTTGCCTCTGCCTGTCTGAACTGCCAGGACTTCCTTTCCTGAACCCTACCCTGGACCTCTGAGTAAGAGCCTAAAAAGACAGTCACAAGGAAAACCAGCCAGAAGTCAGTCAGCTCCCTTTGTGCCCAAGGAGTCGAGTGCTGCTCAGCCCCTTCTTCCCTTACCCACTGCATGCAAAACCATCACTCATGCATCCTCCATCCTCTCCCTGTGACGTCCCCTTACTCACCATCGCACAAGCCATGAAGGAAGGTGGCTACTGTGGGAGAAATACTGCAACAGGCTAAAGCAGGAGATGGTGGCAGATGGCCCGGGACAACAGAATGCCAGAGCAGTCCTGGGGTGGGGGTTCCAGCCTGGGATGGGGGTGCTGAGGTGGCAGACAAACACCTCGGGGTGGGCGGGCAGCAATGGAGGCATCACTTGCCCGGCAAGGACAAGGGTTTTGCATTTCTCCTCATCCCACTGCCAAACTGGGCCTTTTCAGGAGCCTAGAGACAAATCATGGACATCAGTCCGTGCAGTGGGAGAGGTCCCTCCTCTTGAGGGGCTGTGGGAGCTCTCCATGTCACAGGGAGAGTTGTTGGTTCTCCCAAGCAGTCGATCTGTGCTGGCAGGCTCAGCTCATGGCAGGTTGTGCTCACACATTGCTTTTGCACCCCAGAGTGAAGCTTGTGCCCCCAGGGACAAGTATCTGGGTGAGAGTTCCTCCAGCTCTGAGAGGACAGGGGTGTAAAGCTGACACTCCATGAAGGACCCAGTGAAAAATAGTTTGGAGAAGATGTTGGAGTGGTTTGGAATGTTTTTAGCCTACAACAGATGGTTGTAGGAAAAAACAGTCTTTGCATCCTCATGTTTGCCTGCCAGAGCTCAGGGAGCACTTGAACAACACTCTGAGGCACATGGTTGGATTCTTGGGGCTGTCCTGTGCAGAGCCAGGAGTTGGACTCAATGATCCTTGTGGGTCCCTTCCAACTCAGCATCTTCTAAGACTCGGTGGTCTGCTCTGGTTGCTTATCCTTCCAGCAGCCTGCCAGAGCAGTCTTCCAGCATCACCCAGGCTTCTCCAGGGACAGCTGTCCCAGCAGACGGAGAAAGACACATAGCTTGGGAGGACTCACACAGATGTGCAGAGCATTCCTGACAGCGGGCTGAGGGTAGAAAGGTAGATACATGTTCAAGGCCAAGGAGTTGTGCAGGAAGCCAGGAGGAGTTTAGGATCTGGACTGCTCCCAGTGCATCCCACAGGGAACCCACCGCTCCTCACGGTTCAGCTGCGTTGGGTGTTCCTCTCCCCACCTCAGCCTCCACTCTCCATCCTTCTTGCTTCCCCTAATCCCGTGCACCACCCTCACATCGGATGGGGGAGGAAGCAGGGGTTCTGCATCCCAGCACTGAGTGGTTGATCCAAGGTGGAAGCTCTGGTTATCGTGAAAGGTTCAGTAAAGAAACCTGGTCCCTGAGCCGAGGTCTCTTTGGAACTTGTTTTGTTAGTGAGCAGTAGTGAAAACCGTGTGTCTTGTGGCTGGGAAAAGCAGCCAGAGCTCACCTTCCCAGTCCAGTTCCTCTGGGCTGGGACAGAGGGAGTGGAGCACCTGGGTCCCTGTTTCACTGCTTTCCCAGATGGCTCCTTGCGTTCCAGTGGAACCTGGGAGGGAGAAGCCTGGCTGGCACCCTGGGGCCTGGCAGTGAGACACCCCAGCCGGGGTCTGGCATCTGTGGCTTCTCTGGTCTCCAGTCCAGGCTGGTGGTGCCATCCACCCACCAGCACCTGCCCCCCGTCCTGGCAGCTTGGTGGGGCCCAGGCCGGGCGGGCAGAGATGCTGTTGCATGAGGACAAGTGGGGGGATGGCAGGGACATCGTGGGGACATTGCGGGGACATCACAGGCTGCCAGGCACGGCGCTGACTCTCCCTCCTTGTCCTTTGTGCCCCAGGTGCTGCTGCTTCTTTAAGAGGAAAAGGAAGAAGACGGCTCAGCGTCACAAGTGACCGGTGCCTCCTGGGCCTTGCAGGAACCACCACACCTGCAGCTCCTGCCCTGTCTTACTGGAAGGGGCTTCTCTTTAGGAGGGAGGAGGAGGAGGAGGCATAGGAGGAAGAGAGAAAAACGAAAACAAAAAAAAAAAAAACCCAAGTGACATTTTAAACCAAAAAGAGAAGAAAACGTTCCAAAACAAACCACTCTGGGGTGGATCTGCTGAATGGTCTCCCTCATTCACTCCAAGCCTGAAGCTCCTTTTGGGACCAGGACTGTGGCTGGCTCAGGTCTTGGTCGCCCTGGGAGGGGGGCTGGCTGGCTGACCCTCCTTCCCATTGTTTACGGTGAAGGCATCGTTGACGCAAACCTGAGGACTGTGCTTAGTTCCTGCTCACTTTCCTCCCCTCCCTCCCCTGCACTCTGCTCCTCTGTCCTCCTCCCTCCTTAATTAAGTGAAGAAATTCCATAGGCTCGATTGGCTGTGGAGAGGGCAGGAGGATGCAGGGCAGGCAGGAGAGTTGCTAGGAGAAGGGCCTGACTGCTGCGGCAGGAAGAGACAGGTTCTCTCTGTGGCTCCTTGGGAACAGTTACACTGTAATGTGCAAGCTGTGAGAAATTTGCAATCTACTGTTCCAGTTAGGGTTTTTTTTCCCCCGGCTCCCTTGACACCTCCCTCCTGTGGCAGTAACAGAGCAGTGTGGATTGTTTTAAAGAAGCTGACGTCGTTGCACTTTTTATTATTTTTAGCATTTACAGATGCACATTGTATCTGTGGATCTCTGCGTGGCCACGCCAGCGCAGGCAGACATCCAGCGGGGAGGATGGTGGGGTGCACGGAAATGCCCTTCAGTGGGGATGTCCACAACCCTCGTGCCAGTCTGGGGCTCCTGACGCCCACCTTGGGCCAGGCGCTGAGGAAAGCATACTTGAATTTCCAATCACCCTTCCTAGCTGCCAGTGAATGTCCTTTCCATGGTTTCCTACAGCGTGCCTGACCCAGCTGGCCGGGAGAGGCGAGGCTGATGCCAGCACGGGCCGGAGGGAGCGGCCTGGCCTTTGCCAAGCCAGAGAAATTTGTGCTGGTTTAAGAGGTAGATCAGGATTGAGGTTCCTGAGAAACAGCCATTTCCTGAAGTGTGGGCGTTTCTCAGTGTGGGTAGCCAGGCAGCCTTCCCAAATCCCTCCTTGGGCTGGTTGGGAACCTTCTGCAAGAAGCTGTTAGTGGGAGGAAAGCATCCCCAGCAGGGGAGAGGATAATTCATGCCTTAACACTGATCCCATCTCCCGGTGGTCAGATAGGTTTGACTGGAATCGCCTTCACGTCCTCTCTGTGAGCATGGGGCAGTGCAAGTTTGCCTGCACCATCCCACCCCTGCAGCAGCCACAGTTCTCCTGCACCACTTTGAGCCAAACCAATAGCAAGGAAAGGGCTTGGGGTGCTTTGCACACCCAGAAAAAAAACACTGAAATCTTGCATCCAGCTGCAGTGTTTCCCAAACTGGAGGAGATGAGGCTGCCAGGGGTTACTGGAGAGGTGGCAGGGCTGTGGGAGAACTCGAGCAGCTTTGGGGAGGTTATGAGTAGGTTTGTTGGACTTTGTTTTTCCATGTGTGACACCAGATCAGGCTGGAATAGTTCAGTTGCCATAAACTTGGGCCTGGCTTACCCAAAAATCATGGAGAGCTTGAAGAGAGGAAAGGGAGAGACTAGATCTCATTATTGTTTATTTGAGTTAATGCTAAGCTGTGTAGCTTGGCATTCACAGAGCAGCATTGCCAGGAGGTTCAGTTTCCCTGGCTGGGTAGGAGCAGGCTTAGAGGGCAGGAGATCAGTGTGGGCAGCAAGCTCTGGGCTTGCTCCTCATGCATTCCTGAGCCAGGTGGAAAAGCCTCCCTCCTGGCCAGGATCCCCGCGGGGATCTCCACCATCCTGTGCTGCCTTCTCTCCATGCCTTACCCCAGTGAGCGCGATGGAGGAGCCCTGGGTTCACGCATGCCCTCCTTCCTTCCCCTCAGCAAAGCGCTTTCCTCCAGCCAGGCCCTGGGCCGGGGTGGGAACGGGGCAGGACGGGCACCACACACGTGCCAGGTGTGCGGCCCTGTCCCCTCCTGCCGCAGGGAGGACACGGCCACGTCCCACCTTTCTCTTCTCCTCCGCTGCCCGCGGTTCCCAGAAGCAGCGTCCGTGGCACAGGCACTCCTCTCTCTGCTGTAGGAAACCATGGTTTGGCATCTTGGGAGGGTGCCCAGGGGCACAGGCGCTCCCCGGGGAGCTGCCCTGCCCGCTGCCGACAGAGCTGGCCCTGAGACACTTCCGTTGCTGCCCTCCCAAGCCCCACTAAGTGCCTGTCACCAGAACTCGATTCCTTCTGCATCTCCTGCCGTGTTTGGTCATTCCTCGCTGCCTCCACTCAAGGAGCAGCTTGTAGTTGCAGCATATGTAAGTGTTTGCAGGGTGAGGGAGGGCGGGGGGGAAAGGGGCCATCTCAACAGGTTTTGTTCCTAAATGTTTTTGGTTTCTTTCGTTTCGTTGTTTTTTGGGGGGTTTTTTGGTTTGTTTTTTTTTAAGTGAATGTATTTGATCGTTTAGAAAACTTTCCTGACCTTGTTTTTAAGTGGGTTGGTCTGAAAGCTGTTTCATGGTGACCCACTACAGCTTCTCTCCGGAGATACGGTGTTCTTTTAATCCTACAATGATGTGTTTGTAGGGGAGGACTGTCCCCCCCACGGCATGCTGGTAATGCTCACTTGTACCAAGCCCTCTTGCACTATAATCGTACGTTGGACTCTTCAAAAAAAAAAAAAAAAAAAAAAGGGGAAAAGGGGGGGGGGGGTTTTTAAAAAAAAAAAATTTAAAAAAAAAAAAAAAAAAAAAAAAGGGCAAAGATGTGGGGTGGCTTTTTAACAAAAAAAAATTTAAAAAAAGAAAAAAAAAAGAAAATAAAGCAGGTTACCAGCAAGTCCTGTGCTTGAGGGAACCGCTGTCCCTGGGGAGCTCGGAGGTGGCAAGGAGAGGCAGCCAGACTGAGCCAGCCATGCTGTGGAAGGACGTAGGGCATTAACCTGGGCCATCCCTCCTGTCCGTGCCGGGAGCGTCGGCAGCCAGGAGGCCCCAGGCAGGGGAGGGCTCCTGGGGGCTCCCGGTGCCCCTGGCGCGGCTCTCGGCCCTCCAACGTTGCGATGCAGTCTTCTGAGGTATCAAGTGAGATGATTTTTTTTTTTTTTCAATAAAACATTGCACTGCTGCATTGTTCTCCATGAATAGAAGTATTTATTACCTCAGCCTGACCACGGCACTTGTGTTTTGTCTTCCTTTGGCTCTTGTGTCACCCTCTGCTCCCCTTGGAGGGGACAGTGCACGGGTGGGACCTTGTGGGAGCTTCCCAACACTTCATGCTCTACAGCCATGGGTGGTTCAGCCCTATGGAGCTGAAAACACCACCAGACAACGTGGTACTGATTTCCCTTCTCCCTGGGTGCACACATTCCCACTTCAGCCCTCCTGGAATGCAGGATGCCTCGTCCCTGAGGCAGAAGGGACCACAGGGAGAGGGACACTGGGACCTGCCCCTTGGCAAGGCTGTGGGATAAAAACTGAAGGAAGGAGTGAGAGAAGCCCTAATTCCTGTTAAATACCAGGAGAGGCCAGGCTGGAAGCACGCAGGACTTTCTGTGGTGTTGCAGATGCCTGTGTTCAGCTCAGCACCATCTCTGAAGGTGTCACTGCCCATGGCAGGGGTTAGACTTGTAAAGGTCCCTTCGAACCCAAACCGGTCTGTGACTGAAAGTCCTGCAGTTAGTTGAACTCGTGGGAATTAGGTTTTCATCAGGTCTGGGTCAGTGTCAATCTCAGAGGAGGAGATGTGGGTTCCAAGGGTCAGGGAGGGAATTTTTGAGGTTCACCTCCTTGTCAGAGTGCACGCATCCCCTGACAAATTTTTGGGAGCAGGAAATGAAACCTCATGCTAAAAACGATACATTTAAGGCTGGGGAGTAGGGGTAAAAATGTCACAGGAGCGATCGCAGTGTGGAGCAGGCTCCAGGCATGGGAACACTGGTGCAGGTGTCTGTGCGCGGGCACAGCTGCCCTCAGGTGCTTTGGCTCGGGGGCCTTCATCGCGACCGCTCACACACTGACCGCAGCCATGCAGCTCGCGGCCACCGAGCGGCCACGGGCTTCGGGCGCTCGATGTCCCCCTGCGCCGGGGCCGCGGCTGCTGCTACCGGGGACACGGCGGGGACAAAGCGGGGACACCGCGGGGACACGGCGGGACAGGCCGCCCCAGCAGCCCGGCCCGCCGCAGCCCCGCCCCCCGCCCGCGCCCATTGGCCACCGCCACCCTTTGTCCCGCCCCCCTCCCCCCTCCTCCCCCTCAGTGACCAATCACCGCGGCGTTCCGGCCATGATTGACAGCGCGGCGGCCGCCCTGCGAGGGGCAACGTGGCATACGCCCGAGCTCCGCCCGGCCGGAAGGTGCTACCGTCCCCCCCCCTGTGGGACCCTGTTGGTCGCGCCCAGGCGGGCGGAGCGGGCGGGCGCGCGGCGCGGGCGGTACCGGATGCCGGCGGCGCGGCGGGCGCTGTGGCCGGGCTGCGAGCGGCGCAGGATGAAGGTGCTGGTGGCGGCGGCGGCGCTGGGCGCGGCCCTCCTGCTCCTGCTGCCCGCGGCCTCCCGCGCCGACGAGCGCAAGAAGGGACCCAAGGTCACCGCCAAGGTCGGGAAGGGCCGAGGCGGGGCCGGCGGGGGGCGATGGGGAAAGACTCCGAGCGGGGGGAGCCCGTGTGGGAGCCCTGGAGAGGGGAGCCGGGGTGAGGGGCCATGGATGGGCTGGGACTGAGGGAGGGTGGGGGAGCCGTGAGGAGGGAGGGTCAGTGCGGGGCTCTGGGGCCTGGGCCCAGCTCGGCCCAGCTCGGGGGCTGCCCGGGCGCTGGGCTGAAGCCTGGGCTGGGGCAGCGGTGAGGCTGCGGGGGATGCAGCCGGGGCTGTGGGGCACCATCCTCACCGGGTGAGGCTTTGGGCCTGGTTGGAGGTGGTGAGTTGGGCTTTAGGGGTGGGTTGGCGCAAAAGGGAGCCCAGGGTGAGTCTGGCTGCCCTGATCCCCCCTAACCTTGCTCCATCCCCAAGGTGTTCTTCGACCTGCGGATCGGTGAGGAGGATGCCGGCCGTGTCGTCATCGGGCTCTTCGGCAAGACGGTGCCCAAGACGGTGGAGAACTTCATGGCCCTGGCCACCGGAGAGGTGAGGGGCCCGTGGCACCCTGGGCCTCGCCGGCCCCTGCTCGGTGCCCTGGGGCAGCGCTGGGGCCGCAGGCTCTGGTCTGTCCCTTCCCTCACTCCATGTTCTCCCTCCACACCCCCAGAAAGGATTTGGCTTCAAGGGCAGCAAGTTCCACCGTGTGATCAAGGACTTCATGATCCAGGGAGGAGACTTCACCCGCGGCGACGGCACCGGAGGTAACTTGGCAGATCCAAGCCACTGTCTTGGAGTGAGACAGCAGCCACAATTCCAGCCTCTGCAGGGCTGTCCCTGGGACCAGGGCTGGAGCTTGGTGGGCATGGAGCTCACCAAGCCGTGGCCAGAAGCAGAGCTGAGTGCTGGCTGACTGGGGTGCTGGGAGCCTCCTGCTCCGCTCCCTTGGCGTGACACCCCTGCCCAGCCCCTGGGGTGCTCCCAGCTCCCTGCAGCAGCCCATCTCTCATGTGTCCTGTGGCATCAGTGCTAGTCCCTGCCCTGGAATTGCTCATTCCCCCACCCACCTCATGCTGGAGCTACCAGCACCATCACCCCTACCACGACACATTCCATGAAGCCACTGCGGCCTTTTTGTCCCCACCTTTAGGAAAGAGCATCTACGGGGAGCGTTTCCCTGACGAGAACTTCAAGCTGAAGCACTACGGGCCAGGCTGGGTGAGCATGGCCAACGCTGGCAAGGACACCAACGGCTCCCAGTTCTTCATCACCACCGTGAAGACGCCGTGGCTGGACGGGAAGCACGTGGTGTTCGGCAAAGTGCTGGAGGGAATGGTGAGGGAGGGCAGGGGGAAAGGGAAGGGGGTGCTCTGGGCAGGGCTTGGCTGAGCTGGCTCTGCCCCGTGCCCCGCTCTCACACTGTACCCCACCAGGACGTGGTGAGGAAGGTGGAGGGCACAAAGACAGACAGCCGGGACAAGCCCCTCAAGGACGTCACCATCGTCGACTGTGGCACCATCGAGGTGGAGAAGCCGTTTGCCATCGCCAAAGAGTGACGGGACCAGGCCCTGCCGGGCTGGGAGGGGCTGGGGGACAGGGCTGCCAGGCTTCCCCTGCCCTGGGACCACCGGCTCCTGCTGGGTCCCAGTGCCCAGCCCCTGGCCCTGCTGCCTCCAGCCACTGGGACAGGGCACAGGCTGCTCTTCCATCACTTTTGTAAGAAGCACATGCACCAATAAATGTGACCAATGTGTTTTTTAAAAAGCTGCCTCTCTCCTGCCTTCCGAGGGGTGCAGATCCCTCACCCAGATGCACCCCTCAACCTTCCAGCCCCCCTTCCAACCTTCCTTTGCTATCATCTCATCCAGCTGGGAGCAGTGCCACAGTTGGCCCTGGGTTTGCTTTGCAGAATTCCACAGCACAGCGCTTTTCCAGTCAGTCAAATCCAGGAGATTTATTGCACCAAAGCCTGGATGCAGAGAGGTTTTCCAGCACCATCCAGCATCCAAAGGCTCGTACTGCAAGCCCAAAACAGCAGGGGGGGAGGCAGAGCTCCTGCTCTGCCAACAAAGGCACTTTTCATGGTGGTGAGAGAGCACTTCCCAACATCCCTTTGGCTTCTCCCAGCAGGGAGGAGTGAGTTTCACCACAAGGATCCTTCCTCTCACCACTGCATCCCTGGCTGCTGGGTGGAACTCATCATTCCAGAGGCTCGGGGTGCTGCCAGGCCGGGGACGCAGCTCAGGGGGAGGTAGAGGCCCTGCAGGACCCCGCTGAGGACGGTGTTGGGGAGCAGCTCTGCGAGGAAATGGGGGTGCTGTAACAGCTGGTTCCCTCCTGGGCCCCGCTGAAGGAGAAGCACCTTTGTAGGGCCCAGAAGAGGCTCTTGGAGGTTTTGGAGGCCCTGCTCCTTACCAGCGCCGCGTGGCCGCACGTAGGGATCCGAGCGGAAGCCGACGATGGGGCGCTGGGACGGCAGGAGTCTGGTGCTGCTGTGGAAAAGGGGACATCACTCCTCAGCCTGTCCCCACCATCCCAGCCCCAGCTACTCAGGGTGCCTAACACGGGGCAGGGGGAAAGTCCCGGTGCCATGTGGGATACCCCTGGTGCCAGCAGAATCATCTACTCACGGGGGGCTGCTGGCCTTGGGGCTCTGCTGGCACCGCCGCACCTTCAGGAAGTCCAGGATGTCCTGGGGCAGCTCCTCGTTGTGGTACAGCACGCCCTGCAATGCTCCAGGGGTGTCAGCACCCCAAAACCCCCCTCCCAAACCCATCACCATGTGTTGCTCACCCCTAAAAACCCACCCTGAACCTGCCGTACACTCCTCACCTGCAGGTAGAGCTCCAGGCCCTGCCGGCGCTGCTCCAGCGCTTTGGGCATCCAGTTGGGGACATGGCGTGGGGGGAAGTCGGGGACCTTACAGGTCTTCTTGATCTGAGGAAGGGTGTTGGGGTGTCAGGGCAGGGCAGAGAGGATGAGGGCAGGGCCCCGTGTGCCCTCCTGCAGAGCTGGGGGTCTCACCCGCTTGTGCAGTGCCTGGAACTCGCTGTAGCGCTTGGTCACCGTGTGCCGCCGGCCATTGCACAGCACCTCCACCCGGAACACCTGCAGGGGACAGACAGCGAGTGCTCCCCATCGGCCCCAGCCTCACCATCCTCGCTCTGTCCTCATCACCCTCACCATCCCTCATCAGCTCCAGCCTCATCATCTTCACCATCCCTCATCATTCTCACCATTCTAACCAGCCCCAGCCTCAGCACCCTTACTGTAGCCATGATATTTTATGGAAAATCCTTTCCTAGGATTTTTCCCATCCTGAGGAGCTGAGAGCCTCAGGAAAGAAATGTAAACAATAACTGTGTGCTGCTGTGGAATGCCACAGGTGCATCTTCCATTGGTCCGTGTGGATTGTTTTCAATTAGTGACCAATCACAGCCACCTGTGCCGAGGCTGTGAGCAGTCACAGGATTTTGTTATGCATTTTATTCTATTCTATTCTTGTTCTTTGTAGCCTTCTGATCCTTCCCCTCTCTCTGCTCCTTTAGTATAGTTTTAATGTAGTATTTTAATATAATATATAACATAATAGATCAGCCTTCTGAGAAAAATGGAGTCAAGGCTCGTGCCCCCACACTTGGAGCATTCACCGCAACACTTTACCATCCTCATCACCCTCACCACACTCATCAGCCTCCCAGAGGAGGTGGGAGCTGCTAACTCACACACCTGTGGAGAGCACTTGGGACACTCCACCCCCACCTCTCTAGGACAGACAGAGACCCCCAATCTCCAGGGCAGACCCCCAACACCCCCATGGCCAGTGGGGCACCACAGGACCCCCAAAGCAGATGGGACACAATTCTCCCCTCCCAAGGGGAGCACAGCGAGGTGTGACATCCCAACCCCCACCAAAGCCCCCCAGTTGGGACCCCGGGGCTGGCAGGGACCCCAACAGCTTGGGGTGTGCAGGGAGACCAGGAAGGGACACTTGGGGACCTCAAACCAATGGGACAGAGGTAGACAACCCTTTTTCCCCAGGGCAGGTAAGCCCCCCTACCTAGGGATGGTCATGGATCTCCACCCTCCTGCGGAAGACAGGAGAAGCCCTTCTCTCCCCACACAGCCAGGGGTCCCTCCCCACTCCACTCCCCAGGGCCAGTGGGGATCCCCCAGGCCAGGGACAGCCCTGCTTTCAAGGGTGGGCCCCTGCAGACACACAGGCATCTCCATCCCACAGGGGACCCCCCAGGCAAGGCAGAAGGGCAGAGGACCCACCTCAGACCCACCTCAGGAAGGAATCCTGTGGGGACCTCTGCCCAGCACCCCTGGGCCAGGGACCCCCATCCCCTCCCCTTCAAGGGCTTTGTGTCCCCCTTCCCAGAAAGGGAGCCATGAGGACAGCTGGGGACCTCTCCTCAGGGCACAGAGTCTCCTCTGCCCCTCTCTCCTCCTGCCTCCTCACTCACTGGAGAGTTGGGACCCTGGGAGGAGGTCAGGGATGCTGGGAGCCCCCCAGGCACTTGGAGCATGTAGGGACACCCTGGTGGGCACATTAAGATCCCCACACCCTCCACCCTCCAGGGCAAGCAGGCACCCTCACACCCAGGGCAGAGGGGGCACCCAGAGACAGACAGGGACCCACCCCAGTGCCAGGGGACATTGCATCCTTGCCATCCCAGGTGGAGTCTGACAAGGGGACCCCGCAGGGGCACTTAGATCCTGCACCCCAGGGGGAAGGACACATCCCCATCCTGGGTGCACAGGGATATGACAGGGACCCCATGGGAACAGAGGAGACACCCTCACCAGTGCTGCCCCTTCCCACCCCTTCCAGGGGCACAGGATCACTGCCTGTCCCTCCCTCTCGCCCCAGCAGGGATCCTCTGGACGAAGGCAGGGACAGCCACTCCTGGGCATTTGGGGACACTGCGGGGAGGGGGGACACTTCGGGACATCCCAGCCCCAGGGCAGATGTGGGACACACATCCCTGGGGCAGATGGGGGTACCCAGGGATAGACAGGGACCCCGGAACCCTCTGGGGTCAGAGGGGACTCCCAGGGTAGAGGAACAGCCCCAGAGGGCAGCCCCTGGGCTACCCCGGGGACAAGTGGGGCTCCCCAGTTACACCTGGGGACCCTCAGTCCCTGACGCACATGGAGACACCCTCCCGGGCAGGTGGGGACCTGCGGGAGCCACAAGAACCCCAGAACAGGACCCCGGGGCAGGCAGGAAGAGCCTCCAACCCCTGGGGCAAGTTGGACACCCCTGGGATGTGGCGACCCATGGGGACAAGGCAGGACCTGCACCCCCAGGGCGAGAGGGGGCTGAGGGACAGACACACTCCCGACTTCCAGGGCAGAAGGTGCCCCCGGCAGGGACCCAGGGCAGGCACAGACCCCGGGGCAGGTGGGCACCACCCAGGGGTACTTGAGGACCTCCAACCCTTGAGGCTGGGACACTTCAGGGTCGCCTGGGGGGGCGAGGAGACCTCCAGTCCCAGGGCAGGTGGGGCAGCCCGGGGAAGGAAGGAACCCCCAGCCATGGGGGCTACAGGGACCTCTCCCCCTTTCACAGGTAAAGGGTCTGTGCTCCCCCCAGCTGGGACCCTCCAGGGACAGGCCTCAATAATCTCATGTCCCCCATCCCCTCCCTCAAGGGCAAAGGGTCCCCATGGGCAGCGACCCCAGTGGGGGTCCCCGCCTGGAGCCCCCGGGTCAGGATCCCCTGGGGCTGCCGGGGGCTCTCCCGGGGCTGTTTGGGCTCCTCCAAGCCCAGGGCCAGGGACACCGCGGGCAGAGGGCAGTGCTGGGGACGAACGGGACACGGCGGAGGTGGGACATGAGAGCCCCCCAGCCCTGGGTTAGGGTGGAAGCAGCGCCGGGCAGGGAGAGAGCCCTGGGCAGAGGGGGAAACCTCCAAACCCCGCAGGCTCCGGGGACAGCGGCAGGCGGGATCCCGCACCCCCGGGAGCAGAGACACCCCAAGAGCAGGGACAGCCCCGGGACAGAGCCACCCCAAGAGCAGCCACAGCCCCAAGAGCAGCCAGGGCCCCTTTCAAGGCACAGGGTCCGTGTCTGCCACCGGCAGGGACGGCTCAGGGACACGCACGACCTCCCCTCCCAGGGCACCTGGAAGACTCCAGAGACAAATCCCGCCGGGAGTTGTCACAGGCTGACACCCCACAGGGAACCTGGGGGCCTCGAGTCCTGGGGCAGCTGGGACCCCCCAGAGCAGGGACCCCTGGGGAAAGGCGGGGGACACTTGGGGACAAGCGGCGACCTCGAGTTCCCGGGGCAGAAGGGCAGTTCCCGCTCACCCCCTCACGCCCTCCCGGGCCCGTCCCTCACCGTGTGCGGCCGCTCGGCGCTGCCCGCCGCCGGGGGCTCCGCCGCGGGGATGCAGACGGCGATCACGGCCCGGGGCGCGCCGGGACGCGCCGGGAGCGGGAGCGGGGCCGGGCCGGGACCGCCCCGGGAGCCCATGGCGGTCACGGCCCCGGGATGAGCCCGGAGCCGCTCGGCGGAGCCGCCGCGGAGCCGCTTTACAAGGATAAGGGGAAAGGAAAGAGGGAAGTCCGCCCAAGCTGCCTTTTTTCGAGCGGGTATCGGTTTTGATAAAACGCACACGCGAGGCTGCGAAGGGGGGAAGGGGCAGGTCTCCCCCCCGGAGCACCACAGCCCCACGGAGCTCTGGGAACGCCAGTCCCAGCGCTGTGGGATTGCTCAGATCCTAAAAACGGCTCCCACGGGAGGAAAGGCACAGAGCCAAAGCCTAATCGAGAGCGGGGACAGGTGGCCAGAGCAGCGTCCAAGGTCACCCCGGCCCCGTCACAACACGGGGGAGGCTCCGCTGCTGCCCTCGGCACCGTCACCCTCCCCACTGCCACCCTCAACACCCAGAGCCTGTTTGCCCTGATAGAAGTTTTATTACAGAACTTTAATGGCACTGCAGGAGAAAGATAATTCATTAGAGCCTTAAAACCCAGCCTGAAAAATAGATATTTGCCAGATCTCATTAAGCCCCTGGCTGCGGGTCTGGTCTGGAAGCAGGAAACTAGTTTCTCTTCAGTAAGAAAATATATGTTGCTAAATGAAAAATATACAGTTAGAAGAGTTACTGGCTCGCAAGCTGTTCTTCTGGGGGTGACACCTCTGCCAGCTCCAGCATGTGGAACGAGGGGTCGCTCACGTGGAAAAGAAGAGGAGGTACAGTGTATATAAAAAAAAAAAAAAAAAAAAAAGGCAAAATTCAGGTTTGTTTGCTCAGTCCAATTAAGAAATGGCCTTGGCTTCAGGCAGGAACGCTTCCCAGTACTTCACCAGCTGCAGGGAGGAGAGGGAGAGAGTCAGGAGCCTTGAGGGTGGAGAGAGATTCACAAGCATGGCCTGACCTTGGACCTAAAACCACATCAGGGACCACTGACCTGCTGCTGGGAGTTCAACAACGTCTCCAGGTATTTCGTGACGTGGTTTCTGAAGTCCCTAGATTTCTCCTTCTGCAAGAGATGGGCATGAGGCTGGACCAACCACCAAAACCCTCCAGAGCCTGGGAGGGGGAAGGAGAAACCACCAGGATTCTCCTGTTCCTCCTGGGGCCCCGTGAGGAGACCAGGACATGGGACACAGAGGATCTCTGCCCACACTGCTTCAGTTTAAGATTCCCTGTGGGAAGCCCACCCCAGCTCACACGTGTTGGGATGCAGGGATGCTGCTGTGGCAGGAGGAGGGGCAGGAGCCCAGGGCTGTCCCAAACCTACCTCAAACCGTATCACCTCCTTGCGGATGACAGCAGAAATCCGCTCAAAGTCCCTCTCGTACTGCGTCACCCGGGACTCCCACTGCAGAGACAGCAAGGGCAGCGTGGGGACAGGACAAGGAGCTCCTGCCCCCCTCCATGGGGGCTGGAGCCACGACTGTGCATGGGAGAGGTGCTGCTGGAGCACAGCTCGGTCCTTGTCACCACCCTGGCAGGGAGGTCACAGGAAGCAGGAGCACGAGCAGCCCCACTCAAGGCTGGCTTAGCCCCTGGGGCAGCTTGGCCACAGACACCCATCCCTCCTGCTCAGGAGGTGCCCCCCAGCCCAGCAGGCTCCTTCCCCAGCCCAGGAGGTCCTTCCCCACTGGAGCAAGGGGGGCAGGAACAGAGCACAGACCCCACGCTCTCTCCCCTACCTCCGAGATCTCATCCTTGGCCTGCTGCAGCTTGTCAGGTTTGTTTGCCCACAGCAGCCTGGCCTCCATCTCCCTCTTCTTCTGGAGCATGGTCTGGGCATCCTGCCAGCGCTGCCAGGTCTTCATGCGCTGGTCAAAGGCTCCCTGGAGGGAAGGAGGGGCAGAGATCTCCTGACAAGGGGACACTGGAGGTCCTGGACCAAAGCTGAGCCAGAACACAGATTGGGTCCTGCTCTGGAGCATCCACAGCTCCTGTATGGACCAGTGGACCAAGGATATGGTGGTCTGGCCTTTGGGGCAGGAAGGGGCCAGCCTGCTGGACTTGCTACTCCCAGGGGATTGCTTCTTCCCAGTGCACCAGGTGGGCTGTGTGGACTTGATGCCCAAGTTCAGGAGCATCAGCACTCAGGCCCTGCCACAGCAGGCACGTGGCAGGTCAGTTTTCACCACCTGCATCACAGGTTACCAGCTCACAGCTTCAGCCTTCACCTCTGGAAGGGCTGGGGTCACCCACAAGCCATGAACTTGCTCCACATCCCCTCTGGAGAACAGCACAGCAGCACAGCCAGGCCTCCCCTACAACCACCTTCCAACCTAGCCAGTGCACATCTGGACAACCAGCAAGCTTTCCCTCTGCCTGAAGAGGCCATGCCCTGCATGTCCTGTGCCTGAGTTTGGAAGACCTCCTGGCATCCCCAAGCCCAGGATGGGTACGAGGAGCAGGAGTGAAGGAATTCTTACCCTGACAACCGAGAGCAGGCGGATGTAATCCCCCAGGAGCTCGGCCAGGAGGAAGAAGTCATTGTTAGCCTGTTCATGGTGCAGCTGCTCAATCTTCTCCTCCACCTCAGCCAGCTGGGACAACGCCCGGGACAGGGCCGTGTTGTCCTCTGAGCTTCCCAGCATGGCCAGGCTCTTGGCAAACTGGGCTGTGTTCAGTGCCAGCTCTGGGGAAGGGGATGAGGGTCAGGAGATGGGCCTGCCTGCACCAGGAGCTCCCCAGCAGAGGGTTCAGCCCTTGGAGCTGCCTTTCCACAGCTCCAGGAGATACCAGCTGGGAGAGCCAGCCCTGGCTCAGGCAGAGCTAGCAGCTTCCAGCCATGAGGAAAAGGGAAGCAGCTGAGCGGAAGGACAGGCACAGCTTTGCAGAAGTCAGTGGAAAGTGCAGAGGAAGGAAAAGATCCCCACTCCCAGAGGTCAGCCCTGCTCAGGTTTGCTACAGCAGCTTTCTGGCCCATGAGGATAGGCTGAGGGAATGAGGGTTGATCAGCCTGCAGAAGAGAAGGCTCCAGGGAGAGCTCAGAGCCCTGCCAGTGCCTGGAGGGGCCCCAGGAGAGCTGGAGAGGGACTGGGGACAAGGGATGGAGGGACAGGACACAGGGAATGGCTTTCCACTGCCAGAGGGCAGGGATAGATGGGAAGGAATTCTTCCCTGTGAGGGAACTGAGGCCCTGGCACAGGTTGCTCAGACAAACTGTGGTTATCCCTATCAGTTTCCAAGGCCAGGTTGGACAGGGCTTGGAGCAGGCTGGGATAGTGCAAGGTGTCCCTGCCCATGGCAGGACAGGGTGGAACAAGAGGGACTTCAAGGTTCCTGTAGCCCCCAAGCCATCCTGGGATTCTATGATCCCACAGGACACAGGTTCCCTCCCACACTGCCATCCCAAGCTTGTGGAGCTGCACAGAAGAACTGGGGTGACCATTTTACATCTGTCTCCCAGGAGGAAGGGACAGAGAGGCCTTTACAGCACTGTCCCAGCTCCCTGAAGTGTCCCTGGGACACGTGGCCCTGGTGAGCCCTGCAGGCAGGCCCAGGCTGTGACTGCCAGCCCACGTGTCCCTGGGTCACCTTTGCGGTGGTTCACCAGCGTCTCCACCACGGCGTGCAGCTTCCGCAGCCGCTGGTCCTCGCACTCCACCTCCTGCAGCTTCTCCTCAAACCACTGCAACGGGAAAGTGCAGAGCTGATCCCCACAAGGGGGCTTTCCCTGCACCCAGAGCTGGAGCTGGGAAGAGCACACAGCTCTGGACTGAGGACAGGGACACCCAGAGGTGCCCTGGCACTTACGATGTCAGACTCGTTCATCTTGATGGTCATTTTACTGACTGCATCCGTGGCTTTGTTGAACATCTTCATTATTCCTGCTCCGCTCAAGGTCTGGGTTCCTACTGCTCTTGGGAGCTGGAAAGGAATGGAAAAGTTTGCTTTGCCATAGGAGCCAGGCTGGGAGAGCTGGGGGTGTTCACCTGGAGAGGAGAAGGCTCTGGGGAGAGCTCAGAGCCCCACTGAGTGTCTAAAGGGGCTTCAGGAGAGATGGAGAGGGAGTCTGAACAAGGCCTGGACTGAGAGGATGAGAGGAAATGAGTTTCCACTGCCAGAGGACAGGGACAGATGGGACACTGGGAAAAAATTCTTAGCTGTGAGGGTGATGAGGCTCTGGCACAGGTTTCCCAGAGAAGCTGTGGCTCTCCCAGCCCCAGAAGTGTCCAAGGCCAGGACAGATGGGACACTGGGAAAAAACTCTTAGCTGTGAGGGTGATGAGGCTCTGGCACAGGTTTCCCAGAGAAGCTGTGGCTCTCCCAGCCCTGGAAGTGTCCAAGGCCAGTGGATGAGGCTTGGAGCCACCTGGGACAGCAACAGGTGCTCCTGCCCATGGCACAGGGTGGAATGAGATGGGGGTTTTTAAAGTCCCTTCCAGCCCAAGCCATTCCATGATTCTGTTTTGCCCATGAGGTGACTGCTGAGTGATCTCTCCCTGCCCTCACCTCAACCCACAAGCCTTTTGTTTATTTTTTCCCTCATGTCCAGCTGAGGGGATGGTTCAGCAGCTTTGGTGGCACCTGGTGCCAACAGCAGCTCCCACCCTAACAGGGCTCTGCCACGTCCCAGTGAGCTTTGGGGGATCCTGCCTCATCAACTGCTCAAGAACCATTTCCTTCAGCACTTCCAAGGATTCCTTACTCCACCCCACTGACCTCCTCCTTCTCCAAGAACTCCCTGACGTCTGGGTCCTGCAGCATGGTTGGGTGGCTGACCACTCTCCGTAGGTACCTGTGGGAGGAACAACTCCAGCAGTTACTTTGGCTGTAGCAAATCCAGCTTTTGATTTTAAATCTGTCCAATGCAGTGACACAGCTTGGTATTTACTCCAGAACAGCAGCTGGGGGGCTGGAAATCAGAGCCAACAACTGTTCTAATTCACCCACAAGTTCTCCTATCTCCCTGGGGAATTTGGTGGTGCCACCACAAAGACCAGAGCTCTCTGAGGTCCCTCACTGGGTTCAGGGACAGCTGATGGGGCCATACCTCTCTAGAGCAGCCCGACGTTTTTCTAGGAACTCTGCAGAGGAGGAATCTTCTTTCCCAACTTTCACTTTGGTCATGCCTAACACAGAGGGAAGATGTGATTAATGAGCTGCTCTAAACTCTACACACGAGGTAAAGTGGTTTATTACAGACTATCAGGGTGACAGTGGAGGAGAGGAATCTCACAACAGGAGTTAGACTTTGGGAATTTGAAATCTGCTAATACCCAAGGAACTGACATGCAGGAAAGAGGCAAAGCAATGGGCTGAACTCAAG